CTAAAAAATTATCATTTGAAAAAACAAAGTCTACGGTTAGTTATAAATTCCACCCTATTTAATATTATATATTATATATTAATACCTTAAGAGTGGTAAAATAGATTCCTAAAAACTAAACATTTTTCAACTAGAGAACGCCTTCCTATCTTTGTAGTGTGTTCCGTACTTAATTAAAATCATCTAACGTACGATAAACTCGACTACTCGATATACTCAATCTACTACATTCACAATACATATAAAACTTCGATACTTAAACATAACTAGACTCGATGCTCCTGAACTACGACACCAACTCGATTAACGTCACCAAGCTCTACAAACGGTACTCCCAATCAACAAAGATTTCACTGGACCTACTACTACACTATGACAATCAATATAATTCGATATCTTAATACCACAAGAATCAATACTCCCGAACTCCAAAACTACGATACTTCATCACCCGTATTTTCATTTCTCTATTACCAATCAGATTCCACTAGACCTTCAACTACAAAACAGCCGAATAAAAATTATAACACTTTAATACGTCACTATTTTATACCTACGAAAACTTATCAGCAACAGCCTTCCGCCGTTACTCCCAAATCTAAACGATTCATCAAAACTTACTAAACAAGTGACAATACTTTGAACACCTCGTCATTACAAAACTCTGTACACCAGGACAGATTTCTAATTCAACGTCAGAGAAAACGAGACTTACAAGCCCTATTAAAATTAAATAACAGTTTGAAATGTTCGAAATTTAAGTAACGATCTTATTTAATCGTTTTCTACACCAATAAGTGACACCAAATTAAAAAGGAAAAGTGACTGGTAAAAAGCGCCCCGACCTATCCAAATTTAGGATGTGGGGTTGCATTTTCACCATCGAGAATAAATATAGGCCTATATAGACCCAATTTTGGGGTGGAGGTGCAAAATTGATAGTTCTTCCTGGGCGCCGAAATAGATCGCTACTCCTTTATAAAAGTTATGAATTACTAGGTACTTTTTGATGATGGCGATTAAACAATTTGCGCCCCCTAGGGATGGCGCCCTAGGTGACCGCCTTGTTGGCCTTATATGTAGCGCCGGCCCTGGGTTAAAGGGATAATTTTTATGTTATACCACAATAAGATTTTTTGACCGCCCCCTAAAAAACTATATAACATTACATAACATTTCCACTGACCTCTAACCTTTATGAGGTAGACCGTAAATGACGTCACATAGCGAAAGGAGAAGCGGGCAGGTTGGAATTTTGCGACGATGTGTGATGAGGGGGTTCAGATAGTCTGCTCAGTGTTAAAATGTTTTTAAAAAAGTAATGTTGAAAACTGTATTTTACCCGCTATGTCACGTTTTGGAAAGCTGTTTTTGTAGAATTGATTAATGTATTCAGTTGAACGAGTTTAGTCAATTTTTTTTTTAGAAATAAATGAATGTTAAAAATAATTAAACTGCAACTTTGAGGGGGTGGGGGTGGGGTTTGTAGTCTGAGGGTGTTACGTCATTTTAGGAGGGTATATGGCTTTTTTGTGACGACGTGTAACGGTGGGAACGGGTATGTATAAATTGTCTATAAACGCGTGACATTATTTATGGATGACCCCTATAAAATGTATAGCGACCCCTTTCCTTACAAAGCGCGACATACATAGTTACAACGAAACATGTTTTTTTTAAAATACCTGATGGGGACCACATCATTATAGAGAACTCCACTAGTATTCATTTTAGACAGACATTCTTTTATTATGCAGGCCAGTTGTGTAGCCTGTTAGTCTACCATACAAAATGTCATGGTTTAGATAGAAAAATCACTGGCCAGTGTTACATAACATTGATGTCTTCTGCCACCCAGGCCCATGTAACACAACACCATGATAAACCACCACATAACGTCCTTGTGTTATATAATATGTTCTTGACACTCAAATATAGCTCAAGAATGGATAGAAAGTATTATTGAACACTTCAATGAAATAACTAAGTCGAAGATTTCTATCTAGAATTGTAAAAAGTTTATCTATTAAAAACTGGACACGTAAGTTGACTTTGTCCATGTCCAGCTTTACATAAGGTACTGAGTGAGAAGCTTTAATTTCACCCTCCCCCACCCCCGCAAGTATACGCTGTATTATCGTGCCACCTCAAGCAGTAGCTGTTTTAATACTTAATCTGTAATTTGTTTTAACAAAATAAAATCGTGATACATTGCATATTTTTAGGTACAGGAAGATCTGTAAACCATTTGGAAGACAACTTAACAACACGGAAACAAAGATAATTTGTGTCTGTGTTGTCGGTCTATCTCTCGTGTTCAGTCTCCCATTTGCAATCTTCTACGGTCAGATAACGGTCGACACTGGACACAAGGGGATTCTGGGCTATGACTGTGGGGTGGCCGCCGAGTACCATCAATCCATCTGGCCAACGGTTTGCCATGGGCTGTACATTGTGGGCTTCCTGTCCTGCTGTGCGACGCTGACGACGTTATACACGTTGATTGGCATCGAGGCCAGAAAACACCGGGTGCCGCACACGACGGTACCCAGCACAGAGAAGCTGAAACTGATTGAGAAATCCACGGGAGAAACTAACACATCTACAGACGAATCCTCGTCACAAGACGGATGATTGTGTTGACTTGTCTGATGTAGGGGACTCACGACAAGACCAACATAACAGCTATGTGGCGACAACTATAGATGTAGATACACTGACCGCTACAGCTGTTCCTACACTGACCACTACAGCTGTTCCTACACTGACCACTACAGCTGTTCCTACACTGACCACTACAGCTGTTCCTACACTGACCACTACAGCTGTTCCTACGCTGACCACTACAGCTGTTCCTACACTGACCACTACAGCTGTTCCTACACTGTCCACTGTTCCTACACTGACCACTACAGCTGTTCCTACACTGACCACTGTTCCTACACTGACCACTACAGCTGTTCCTACACTGACCACTACAGCTGTTCCTACACTGACCACTGTTCCTACACTGACCTCTACAGCTGTTCCTACACTGACCACTGTTCCTACACTGACCACTACAGTTGTTCCTACACTGACCACTACAGCTGTTCCTACACTGACCACTACAGCTGTTCATACACTGACCACTACAGCTGTTCATACACTGACCACTACAGCTATTCCTACACTGACCACTACAGCTGTTCATACACTGACCACTACAGCTGTTCCTACACTGACCACTACAGCTGTTCCTACACTGACCACTACAGCTGTTCCTACACTGACCACTAAAACCAACCAAGCATCAAAACTTCACGCTAACCTCAAACCGCAGAAAACCAAAGCAGCACCAACATCAGGACGAACCACCCGCATGCTGCTAGCGACCAGCATCATCTACATCATCAGCTACCTGAGTACGCTCATCATGGTGCTGATGAATGACGTGTACCAACTGACCAGCCGTGTCTCAGCGGCGGAGGTCTCCGTCCTACACCTGCTCATCGTCCTCTACCTGATCAACAGCGCCGCCAACCCCTTCATCTACAGCCTGTGTAACCCCAACTTTAGAAAGGATTGTATCTATGTATTCCAGCGCTTGATCAGAAGAAATATTTAGAACTAGGATATTCAACTTTTTATTGTAATATTTTGGAGATAAATAATATATCAAATGCCACATTCATAAACCCATATTTAGTCGTGGTGATGGTGGTGTTATTTTCTCCGCACTCTATTAGGTTTGTCTTTTTAAAATTTTTAAATGAACAAAACATTGATTTACAGTACAGAGTAATTTATCAAAACAGGCAATTACATTTATTAAGTGTGTAGAAAATATTTTTTTTTAGCGGAAAATTGCTTGTTTCCAATATGATTACAATAGCTTTTCTGTAATTGAAAATCAGTATAATATAAGGAAAAAAGTCCAACATGAATCGATGTAAAATAAAAGTAGATTTATTGTTTTAGTTTTTATGAAGTAAGCTAATCGAGAATTAAACTGTGGTTAACTAACCTATTCAATATCGATTAAAGTCAGTCTGCAGTTATTGATAAGCACTTTTTAAACAGTTTGATTTGTTTCAAAGTGGTGTGGCACATTTTTCTAATTGCGATTTAATTGTAAAATTCCGTTTTTTTTTAAAAATTTATCATCAGTTTTTAAGGAAAAGTATTTAGGAAATAAAAAACGCCTTTCTAAGAAAAGTTGTTTGATTTATGATCGGTATGTGTCTTCTTTTAATTAAAAAACTAAGACTGCGTGTCTAACATGTATCCAGCGCATCCTACAATTAATTTGATTACAATTTTCTGTATTATCAGACAAAGTAATGAAATAATAGAAAAAATTTACGAATTCAATGCAGAAAAAATTAAACTTTTTTGATCTAAAAGTATTTAAAAATTATTGGCAGAATTTCTTTAAACATTTATTTGTTATTATAGATTTCTATATAATCAATGCTATACTTGTTTCCTTTCTTTTATAAACATTTTTTTTTGTGTTGACTTAGTTAGCCTCCTTTGATTTGTAGCACACTTTATTAATGATTGATTTGGAAATACATACTTTTAAGAAACTAGTTACCAAAGACTAAGTATAAATTGCAGGACTTATATACATTATGTAGCTATTAGTTATACTTAATTGTGAGCGTATTCATTGTCATTTTAGATCCTTCTATTTGAAACGTTTTGGCATTCAAGGTGTACTAGACGCCTTGTCATGAAAGTCTATCATGTTGGTCGTCTGTCATGCCAGTCTGTCTATTGTGCGTCATGTTTGTCTGTCATCCATCAAATCAGTCTAACACGTTAGTCGTCCGTCATGCTAGTCTGTCTGTTGTCCGTCATGTTTGTCTGTCATCCATCAAATCAGTCTATCATGTTGGTCGTATCACTTGTCTGTCATGTTTTTCTGTCATCCATCAAATCAGTCTAACACGTTAGTCGTCCGTCATGCTAGTCTGTCTGTTGTCCGTCATGTTTGTCTGTCATCCATCAAATCAGTCTATCACGTTGGTCGTATCACTTGTCTGTCATGTTTGTCACCTGTCATGTCTGTGTGTCGTATGTCATGAAAATCTGTCATCTGTTAGGTTTTTGTGAAAATTGCAATCAATTTACCACCCACTTAAAAAACCCATTATTTTCAATGAGTCTAAATAGCTATTGAACCCGTTATTAATAACATCGATTAAGTATTTTTAGCCAAGGGTGTGGTTTCATGAAATTTTACAATAACAATCGAAATAAATGAACAATTTCCTTCCGCGTCTACCACCAAGTGTATATCAAATGAGTAACATTTTCAATTGGCCAATACAAGCACGCATGTGCATGCATCGTTATGACGTGCCAGGATTTTTACAAATCACCATTTGTCTGAACAAACTGATATGACGTCTTTGCATATACTATAGTTGCATATTCAACAGACGAACATATGGACCTAGAAACAGCAGAATTATCTGCATAAGTACGAGTTACATTAAATTTCGTGTTAGCCCATGAACTTCTGCATCTGTTACTAATACTATCTGCATTCATTTTCTTGCTTCCTGGTTTAAGTGCTAGATTTAACAATGTCGGAAAGTAGATCAAACATTGGATTCAACTTTTCTAACCAGCCATCTAATGTTTTTGATGAAGAAAAATGGCAATACTTGTATTGGTTACAAGGGAAGAACGATCTTATAAACATTCCGGCCTTCACATTTCTGGCATTGGTGTGTGTTTGTGGACTGATAGGGAATTCGTTAATTCTGATTGTTTATTCTCGGAAAAAGAACAAAACACCGACTGTAATTTTGATACAGTTTATAGCAGTCATGGACACGATTACAAACCTGTTTATTGTTCCAGGTAGGTTTACCTAACTAGAAGTCAAGGTTTTTAACAAATGTTAACAAATGTAATTAAAAAGGAAGTATACATAAGATACAAGAAATTTGAAATTGTTACAAAAATAAACCGGGAGTGATCTCCCCTAAACTTTCTCGAATATTCTTATATAAAATAACAGGGGATGGGAACTCGGGATATAGACATGATTTTTAATCCATTTTAAATACTTAAAGTTTTAAAAATAGAATAAAATCTCGTAGACAAATAATTGCACACCAAGTGAACGAGAAATAAAAAAGCGCATAATAGTGCGCAATATTATTAGTACTTTTAAAATTTACAATCGGTTTTTGCGAAATCGGAAGTAGCGTAAATTACTACTTCCAGTCAACGGAAATTGCTCAAAATTTAACAGAAGGTAGAGAATTAGATCTTTTACTTACATGTGAAATTTCATTTATCTATCTGAAATAGTACTCAAGTTATAGGCTTTTGAAAAATTCAAAGTAGAAAAAGTACCACTTCAGGTTGTCGGAAATCGCTCAAAAGTTGATACGGATCTACGATTTTGATATAATACTTATATATGAAATTTCATCAACCTAGCTGTAACGGTACTCAAGTTATCGTGTTTACACACAGACACACACACACAGACATACGGACAAGATTGCAAAATTATGTTTTTCCGTATCAGTGAGGTGTAAAACGTCGAGATTTGTAAAAATCTCGATTTTTTTTTGCACGATTACAATACTTTCTCTATACTACGTATATACGAGAAAGTAAAAACCAAACAACAACAGATAAATAGACAAAATTAAAGCTGTGTTGTTAGCATTTCACTTCATTTATACCAGTAAAGTGTTGTTTTATTTTCTTACAAATGTTTGCTTTAGAAGTGTTTTGTGTTTGAAACTTTCAAAGATGCTGGTGCTAATTTTAAGATGCAACAATTAATAATTGTAGGCTCAAATTATTTAACTATTAACTAATTATTTTCTAATCAATAAAAAATTTGGGAAAATTGGTTTGTCTTCTCACACCGTGCTAGCATAATAAAGACGGGTCTGTGAACCGCATCCTTGAATTATCCTGTTGATATCTAAATTTATCCTTTCAAAATGTAAATTATTCGTCCAGAACAATTTTTCTGTCAAAACGTAATTAAACCTCTTGTAAATCCCAAATTATCATGTAAAATATGACTTATCTTTACATTTACAGGAACCATTTACACGATCGGGCACACTTGGACGTACACAAACGTCTTGGTGTGTAAAGCCTATTACTTTTTCAACAGTTTTATATCATGGACGTCAGCTATTCTGTTGGTGGTAGTTGCTATCATCAGGTTTGTTGTTGAGTGAAAACTTGTAGCATGCTAATGATAAGGTTCATATCTTTATGGGTAACTCAGTGGATAATTCAGTGGATAACTCAGTGGATAACTGTACACTTTACCAGAGGCATAGCGAGGGGGGGGGGGGGGGGGGCTGGGGGTGCGGACCGCACCGGGTGACACCATTTAGGGGGGTGACACCAGGGCAAAAAATAGCAAAATATATAGAGAAAAATGATAACTCCACGTAATTAAGTGATTAATTCGAGTGTTAAATAGTGTTTTAAGAGGTGCAAATCGAAAGTTTGAGGAGGGGGGGGGGTGCAAATCGAAAGTTTGAGGGTGGCGGATGCAAATCGAAAATTCAAAGTTTGTCCCCGGGAAGGGTCGCTACGCCTCTGGGGGGGGGGGGGGGTGACACCATTAAGTGCAACACCGGGTGACACCCGACCTCGCTACGCCACTGCACTTTACTAAGACACAAGAGATAAGCTCGCAGTAGAAAGATAAAATATAAACTTAGTTATATAAGTAGAACAACATAGGCCTATCCACATTTAATTTTTAAATGCACTAAAAAGTAGAAAAAAAAATTATATGTCCAAATCACACTGGTGGGTGTGGGAATGTCTCTACTCCAGGGTTTCTTTCAGGCAAGTTTCTTCAGAATGCTCTTAATATTTTCAGAGAGGGGAGGAGGGGGGGGGGAGACACTTAAAATTTCCTGTGTGACGGACTATTATTAAAGTCCATATTTTCTCTATCAATGTTATATTTTTACACCTTGTCGGAAAGGGGAGGGGGGGGGTTGATGTGCGCCGGAGTGTACCCTCCCCTTGGAAGAAATGCCTAAAAGAAACTCAGGTCTAACGAGAACCTACAACAAATGCTTGAGTCATCTGTTATATTATCTATTCAACAGGTATAGGAAGATCTGTAAACCATTTGGAAGACAACTTAACAACAGGGAAACAAAGATAATTTGTGCCTGTGTTGTTGGTCTATCTCTCGTGTTCAGTCTCCCATTCGCAATCTTCTACGGTCAGATAACGGTCGACACTGGACACAAGGGGATACAAGGATACAACTGTGCAGTGGCCGACCAATCCATCTGGCCAACAGTTTGCCATGGGCTGTATATTCTTGTCTTCATGGCTTGCTGCGTCACACTGACAACGTTGTATTGCTTCATTGGATCGGAAGCCAGACGACGCAAAGTATCGCACTCAAGGGTATCGATACCACCCAGTAGACGGCCAAAACTGATGGAAAAATTAAGAAAATCAGTTAAAACACCACCGCCTGATAATGAACGAAGCGATGATGTGTTAAAAAGAAATGACTTAAGTCAAGTTCAGGTTGATTTCAGCCCAGAGAACAGCAATGAACCGGACACAGAATCCAGCGACATAGACGCACCAACCCCACGTCCAACAGCTGACCGTGCAGTAGTTTCTAAAGTGACCTCTACTGATATATGTACAGTGTCCAACACAACCAATCAAACGTCGACAAATCCATCACAAGCTCACAACAAGACAGCTAAAACAGGAGAGAAGACAAGTGGAAAAACCACCCGGATGTTGCTAGCAACCAGCGTCATCTACGTCATCAGCTACCTCGCGACATTGACGATGATCCTGTTGAATGTTGTCTTAAAACTCAACGGCCGTCTTGGTTTGCTGCAAGCTTCCATTTTAAACGTGGTTATAGTCTTGTACCTAATCAACAGTGCAGCTAATCCCGTTATCTACAGCGTTTGTAATCAAATCTTCAGAAGGGATTGTTTCTCTTTGTTTCAGCGGTTAGTTTATAGAGGATCCTAAGCATGGTTGAGTTTGTTTAAATTTTTATCAGATACAATATGTATTTTACCTAGTGCTGCATGTTTAATCTATCTGAATATTTATTTTACTTGTTTCATTACGTTTAATACTTAATCTGATTGAATATTTATTTTACTTGCTTTATAACGTTTAAACTTTAATCAATCTGAATATATTTATTTTACTTGATCTTTATGTTTAAAATTTATAAAAAGTAAAAGATTAACATTTTTCATGTTTTGTTTAAGTTAGTTTCCTAAACGTTTGACTAGTCAAATAAATTGTTTTTTGCTTTGTAAATAAAACATTGAATGACGTTACTTAATTTTTAATTTTTCTGTATTACCATGTATTCAATTATATGTTAACAATACAATTCTCAATACCCACACATACTTTATATTTACATATATTATGTTTAAAAACTAAAATAAAACGTTTATTCAATTATATGTTAGCAATACAATTCTCAATACCCACACATACTTTATATTTACATATATTATGTTTAAAAACTAAAATAAAACGTTTATGCCCTTATGACAAGCTGCTACTTTGTTTATTTGCTTTTTTATTTTTTCTCGAAAACAGACAATAGAGGAAGTATAGAAATCGTGCACAAAAATCACATAAAATTTGGACAGTATTCACCTTTTTACTTCTCAGTACTTCATCATATACGGACTATAGGGGACTTATTTTAATTGGGCAAAAATTCTAAATCCAGATTTATCATAATTTCGGCTTTTTACGCGTAATCGAGTCGAAGTAACTGGGCTTTGCAATTCTGTCCGTAAATGTATGTGTGTCTGTGAACACGATAACTTAAGTACCGTTATAGCTAGGTTGATGAAATTTCATATATAAGTATAACATCACATTTGTTGTTCTGTATCGACTTTTGAGCGATTTCCGGTATCCGGAAGTGGAAATTAATTCTACTTTTAATTTTTCAAAAGCCTATAACTTGAGTATTGTTTAAGATAGAGAGACGAAATTTCACAAATAAGTACAAAATCTAATTTTCTGTCTTGTGGCAAATTTTTAGTAATTTCCTTTGACCGAAAGTAGTACTTTACGCTATTTCCGATTTCTCAAAAAACGCAGATGAATTATTAAAGTATTATATTCCGCACTATAATATATATTTTGTTTGCCGTTCACTTGGTGCGCTATTTTTTTCCCTCGAGATTCTATTCTATTTTTAAATGTTTACGTAGGCCTATTTAAAAATAGATTAAAATCATATGTATACCCGAAGTTGCCATCCCCCGTAGTGTTATATAAGAATGTTTATGGAAGCTTAGGGGTTTAACTTATAAAGAGAGGAAACAATTTTCCCGAACCAAACTTTCTCCAGTTGCTTGCACGCATTCAGCGCCGTAGATCTATAAATAACTTTTCGGAAAAACCAAATCGTGTTTGCAAACATAACAAATATTCCCTTAAAACAGCTGACTGTAGATCCTTTATTACGCTTGATTATTACATCAGCAATCACAAAGGAAGAAACAAAATGTAACGAAGATGTGCTGACGGTCTTGGTATGCAGTTAGGTTTTCCTACAAGAATTACGTTCTATTTTAGAATTATGGTATGGGGAGGGGGTGGGTAAAGTGGGTTAAGCTGAATATCAAACTGTTCAGATAAAGAGAATGACGTGTGTGTATATATATATATATATAATATATATATATATATATATATATATATATATATATATATATATATATATATATATATATATATATATATATATATAATATGTATGTGATCAACTATTGTATAGAACATTTAAACAACGGATACATTATGTCATCTATACGCCCAGTAACCAGGAAGATATACACACGTGTGTAATAATGTACTTAAACTTAAGGACATGGAAATATACCCGATATTTTTCAACCCCTTGACCGTTTTGTTTCCAACCGACAAGAATGAAGTAAGGTTACAACATTTTATTTGATGTACCAGGAAATAAATCGCCAGTAAATGTCCACGAGGATGCTGTGGAAGGTATTAAAGCGCAGCGTCTGTCTTACGTCCTTAGCTTGAACCATGCATGGGTAGAGGATGTAGTACATTTACAACCGACTGCCTTACATCACGTTATATTTGAAATGACAATGTAACCTTAATGAAAGAAACGAAACAAATCATTTGTTAAACCAAAAGTACCAGCATATGTTCTAGCAGAATATTTAAAACTAGGATTTTTTAGGCAGTTATTTCGGGGATTGTTCACTTGAAACTCTCACAAAGAGGATGCGCACTTACATTTTTTGGGGGAGGGGGGGGGAGAGAGTTCGGGCAGTGGTTAGAGTAAATTATATTTCTGTATCGATTAATATTTTTTTTCTAATGTTTCCTAGTCTCTTGTAAAAAGAGATGGTGTGGCCAGCACTATACCCAGCCGCCTGACTTTCTCTAACGCGTGTTTGGTACTCATCAGAGATAGGTGTACTAGGGGACGCTAACATTAATGTGCGGACCAACAGAACGTTTTGGAAATACTGACGCTAACATAAATGTGCGGACTAGATGTTTAGGAAATACTGACGCTTACATTAATGTGCGGAAAGTTGTCTTTGTTAACCGATGGTAAACAGAAATGCTCACTTCATAAAGTCGCCTCGTCAGTTATTTTTTCTGACGTTTCGTAGATTAATTAAGTTAGTTTTAATTGTATCGATTGATTTAATTGTATCGATTTTGTCCTGAAAATTTTTTGTTATAAATTCCATAAATCCATATAGCTTCAAACAGTTTAAAGGGGTGTTACTAATCCTAACTGCTAAGTAATTCAAATCAAATGTGTCAGGAACTATGCAGCAATTGTGAAACAATCCAGAATTGACATCCGTGTCCATTACAAAGTGTTTATCCATATCGGTAACTTTTATAATTGGCCACTACAAGCATGTACTACAAGCATGTACGACAATGCATGCTTGGATATGTCCAGGAATTTTTTATTATCCACAGTTTGTCGAGGCAACTTGATGAGAATTACTTACATGTTCTGTAGTTACGTGTTTTAAGACAAGCTTATTGAACTAGAGATTAAGTAGTTAACAGCTAATCTTACTTGCACCTACACTGGATTTCGGGTTAAAAAATCTGAACTTAGCTTTAATTTTTTTGCCAGATGTATTTGTTTATTTATTGTATTTTCTGCGGGGAATAATCATAATAATGGTTTAAGTGATAAAATGAAAATGTCTGAAGATAACTCAAACAGTCAATTCAACTTTTCTAACCAGTCTTCTAATGTTTCTGATGAAGAAAAATGGAATTACTTGTATTCTTTACAATGGAAGGAAGATATCATAAACATCCCATCTTACGTGTTTCTGGCTTTGGTGTTCGTGTGTGGACTAATTGTGAATTCATTTATTCTGATTGTTTATTCTCGTAAAAAGAACAAAACACCGACTATAATTTTGATACAGTTCCTAGCAGTCACGGATACAATTACGAATCTTGTTAGTGTTAGACTATTTGTGTTTGTAAAAAGTTTTTTTTTTTTACATTTTTTACATGTACTTTGTTACATTGCTCTTTCTTTTAATTTTAACTTCATTTGTGCTTTTTTTCTGGTGTTATAGTTTTGTTTTAAAATGACAATAACGAGTTGAGCTTGTTTCATTAAAGCTTTAAACTGTCTGTTGTTAAGGAAGTTTTATTTTTGGAAATAAAAAAAAAAACCGTTGTGATACTTAGTAAATTTTTATTTGAAGAAATAAAATAAACCCACAATAAACGTAATTTATAACAGTATATCTTTCTTGAGTATAATATCATTAAGAACAAAAATAGCTTTATGCTAACTAAAGAAAATTGGTATAAAGAAATACAAAAATAAAATTTAAAAAAAAACTATAAAAAGTGTTTTGCTATATTGTAAATGTTATATGGTTGAACATAAATCATTGTTAATGTTACGAATGTAATATCTTTGAAACGAGACTCATGATTAGATGTTTTTAATGCATATTAATAACGTCTGTGATGTTTGGTCTCCAATATGGCTGCCACTTTCAGATGACGTTCCCAGTGTTTGAGGTAAACAGATTTAGTCACTTATCGACACGTCCCTGCAAAGAATACATCACAACTATAGCACATAGTAGCACTATGAAGAAACATATTTATTTTTATGTTGAGCCAATAAAAATCCACATGAAAAAACAATATGCTAGCACAGCACGATGATAGTACTAAAACATTACCTTGGTAGTATAGGCGTAATCTCCATGGTTACTTAATTACATCAATGTAGCAACATAATAGTCCTCACCATCACATACAACAGTGTTGCCTAAGAAACATCACCATGGTAACACAATGACCATCTCCATTGCAATACCACCTTTACATTATTTCAGCGACACTATTAACACCATTGATGATTAGGCTATGACCACCACTACTATTTCACAGTCCCCTTCAATACTTACATCGAGCTTTGATTCTGGCACCACAGCGTGTTGTTGTAGTTACGAATTCCTTCTCTCCTGGAAGAATATCGCTGCGTTAATGAACATTTCTTACGTTTTTTTAAAGATATCTATTGAGCAGTACGCGTTTGATATTTTAAAGTAGTATAAGAAAGATGTATAAAACCAGAAAGAAAAAAAAAGAACACCGTTGGTTTAGGTCATTGTTTTAAGAAGTAACTGTTCATTATTTCTAGCAACAATAGACATCAATAATTCTAATATATTTTTGAGTAATTTCTTGTGCTATTTATAATGCTTATGCCCTCTACAATAATAGTCTATAATGTATAACTTAATGAACGCATTTAAAAATATTTCAAGTATGTTTCAGGAAACTGCAAACGAAGCGTAAAATTATGTCATTGATATTACCAGCAAAGAATAAAAATGGCCGTTGGTTTAGGTCATTGTATTAAAAAGTATTTCAAGTATGTTTTAGGAAACTAAACATAAAATTATGTCATTGATATTACCCACAAAGAATAAAAATATCAAAAATGGCCTTTGGTTTAGGACAGTTTAGGTCATTGTCTTTAAAAGTATTTTAAGTATTTTTTTTAGGAAACTAAAAATACAAGTATACCAACTATATTGCCCTCTATTGTTTACGGCTGTCACGAAAAGATCGACGGCAGCAGCCAGACTGGCGATGTTGTTGGAGGCTTTGTCCTGAGACTCCTCCAGCCTCTGCACCCTGCTTTTGATTTCTTCCCCCTCCTGAAAGTTCCTCTCCACAACCTTTCCCAGGTTCTTGATGAGCCTGTCCGTCTCGGCCTGGGTGCTGGTCAGCTGAGAAATATTCTTCTGCTGTTGTAGGTTGCCCCCTAATATCATGGACACATTGGCTTGACAGTCGGTTGTCAGTTTCGTCAAACAGCTAATTTTCTTTGTCCTGTTGTCGTCTTGTTCATTGAGCACGTTCATCGCCATCTTAAGCTCCTCCACGGTCTGTTTTAACTCAGCAACGTCAGAGGCGTCGGCTTTTTCTGTGATGGTCTTTTGAATGTTGTCATATTTACATTCTAGTGTATCGATGTCCATGAGCCCTGACACACCAGGCTGGTCGGGAAAGCTGAGACCACGCGTGTGAATCTGCTCCGTGCCACATTTATCTATAGGACAAGACAAGGAAACAATGATACAAGACATGACTATATATCATACATGCAAACTAAAGTAACAAAAATAAAGCGGGAGTGATCTCCCCTAAACTTTCTCGAATATTCTTATATAACACTGCCGGGGGTGGCAACTCAAGATATAGATCTGATTTTTAATTCGTTTTTAATAACTTAAACTTTTAATAATAAAATAGAATCTCGTAGAAAATAGAATTGCGCACGAAGAGAACAGCAAACAATATGTGTATAATAGTGCGAAATATTAGTACTTTTTAAATTTATATACGTTTTTTTGAGAAATCGGAAATAGCGTTAAGTACTACTTCCGGTAAATGGAGATTACTCAAAATTTGCAAAAAGGCAGAAGATTAGATCTTTAACTTATATTTAATATTTCGTTTATCTATCTGAAACAGTACTCAAGTTATAGGCTTTTGAAAAAACAAGAGTAGAATAAGTTTTACTTCCGGTAATCGGAAATTGCTGAAAAGTTGATACATAACTAAAATTTCATCAACCTAGCTGTAACGGTACTCAAGTTATCGTGTGAAAGACATACACACACTATTACGTACCTCTACCACTGCTAAAGATATCGCAATACCCGAATTCGTTTTGCATGGTCATAGATTGACGACTTACAAAACTAAAAGATTACCAGACAACAAAAACTCTCCATGGATTCGAATATAATGTCTAGGGTAAAAACACACACGAAGACCTGCAACTAATAATACTTTTAATCAATCTACAACCTTCTAATATGTATACAAGTCTAAATAATAGAAAACTACGTAAAAAAATAGAAATTTACAAATAATGAAAGACCCAACTTACGAGTTAAAGAATAACACACTGAACCTACTAACACTGGATACGGTACCTAAGTAATCAACACAACATACACGTTGTCAAAGTGAGACACAGAAAAATACTGAGTACAAAGATAATTGCTGCTTTTAAACTAGAAAATACAAAATGGCGTCGAACGTGACTCTCTCTCTCTCACCGAAGATGTCTCGTGGGCTGCCGCCCGAGGAAAATTCCTGCCTCATATACGACTCCTAAATTATGGGATGTCGACCTCAATGTCAAGGACTATTGGGAGGAAGTAGCCAAAGCACGAGCCAAACGAACTCAGTGGTGAATACTATCACATGAGTGTGATGGAAAATTTCTTTAGTTTGAACAACAAACCACTCAAGGCCAATTAAATATCATAAAGTCAAACAAAAAAAGAAGACCTAAGTAGGTCACAACACTTATCCACACACACAAATCTGCATACACACTCAACCATTGGGACAAAATAGCAAAACTGTTTTTCCGACTAAGGGTGGCGTAAAACGTCTGAAAATCTCGATTTCAATTTTTTGCACGATTACAATACTTCCTCTATACTTCGTATGCGAGAAAGTAAAAACTGTTCAGATAATAAAGAAAATTTTCTGCTTACAGTTTTTGCTCAGTGGTGATCCCATTCTTGCAGTAACTGTTAAAACTTCCGTCTGTCGATCTTTCTGAGGGCTAGTGATTTGTTATAAAATCCTCTGTTATAAAAACCAATGTGCTTTATCCATAATTGCTAAGTTTTTCGAAACTAATGTACGTTGCATTAAAGAAAAAAATCATTTATAGTGAAAATCGAAATTAGAGTTAGCAAAACGTTTCATCGTGTAGTTAAAAAGCTGAATAGTAATGAAATAGTAAAGATTACCTGGTATTTAAAGGTACTTGCTCGTTTTTTTAAAGCTACAGATATGAAATAAAAACAAACAAAGCTAAAGGTATTTCCTCATGTTAAATAAACAAACAAAAAATAATGTACATTACAGATGACAAAAATATTCAATTAAATACAATTATTTCAACGTTGGCCTCATCAAATGAACTACATAAAGCAAATGTATCGCATTTATAGCTGGTATCATCGGGAAAGTTTAAAATGATAATATATAAATATAACTCGAGGAAAAATGATTACGTCATCATTCATCCTTGATCCTCTCGCTTAAAATTAGATCTAAAAGATAATACTGCTGGATTAGAGCTAATTCATAAATTATAAGTAAGAGATTCGACTTGACGGAGTACACGAACGTGCAACCTGTCTGCTGTAAGACCACGCCCTTTATTCAACTCTAAGAAAGAACGTTATTATATAGGTCTGAAGGTCAAAGTTTTCTATCATACCGAACTGGTGATGACAAATATAATCTATTAGAATCTAAAGCTTCTAAAACGCAGCCCAACATCAGAAACAACTTACGTCACATACACTTTTTACAAGCGATACAGAATATAATGAAAAGTATTTTAAAACGCTATTTTCGTTTAGGATGCCATTTAGCCAGGAGTAGTCTCCCGTGTTTAAGTAAAGACAGGCATGAGTGATTTTCATAGCTTGGTTTAGAATTTAACTGGTGACGTCATGGTTCGTTTAAGTCGCCCTCTTTTCGAAAATACTGATTCTTCGATAACTAACTGATAAAATAGCAAAAAAAAAAAAAAAAAAAACACACACACCAACAAACCCCAAGCCAATACAGCATATGAAACCAATTTTTGCGTGGTATTAAAAAAAACAAAAAAAAAAACAAAAAAAAAAAAAAAAAAAACAGGTAGTTTACATAAACTGCATTCTAGATCAAATTATATTTTCAATTCTAGTTTTCTAACATACTTAAAATTTACGGAAGCATTTCTGGATTAAAATTGAGAAAATAATGCTGATCAGAATCTATCGATCTATCTATCTATCTATCTATATACTACCGAAACTCAAGTTTGTTTACATGTTTGAATATTTATTCTTTTTTTTTTCTTTGTCTGATTGACTATTGTAAATGGTTCTACTCTATGTGGAGAGCTGTAAAATAGTATGTAGGTAGAGAACAATTTTTGTTTTCAGACAGACTGTTAATCACAAATTTATTTAAAGACGTTAATTAATTTATTGATTTATTCATAGGTAGATTAACAACATTAATTTTAAAATTTTGAAACAATGGCTTTCTTTGACTGAATAGTGACGTCACAAGTTTTGTTTACTTTTTAGTACAATAAAATGGCGGCGTCGATCGAAGAAGATTGTGTTCCCATTCCAAAGTTTAACGCGTTCTAAAGCTAATTTTCTGTCGGCTATAACTTTAACAATACGTCAAAGTTTTAACACTTTTTAAAATTTTATTATACGATACATTTCTCGAGATCTACAGATCAGCTGTCGAAGGAAGAAAAAGTTAGGAATCTAGATCTAGATCTTGGTCACTAGACTTTACGTAAATTCTAGATCTAGACTTAATGTAAATTCTACGTCTAGAATCTATTTCAGGCCTTAATTATTTTATATAAATCTTTGTTTAGCTTCAATGAACATCTAATTCGAGAATACATGGGATGTAGGCCTATCTAACTAGGTTCTAGATCTAGATATAGTAGGATTACTCGCTAACTTGGAGGCGTGGTCGGTCGCTAATTTTTAGGCCATAATTACCACGAGCAAAATGTCGGGTTTTCACGTCATATAAACATGCTATAGGTGGCAGAGGCGTATCCAGGTTTTGGTTGTAGGGGGAGCGAAAAGAGCAAAAAAAGGCGCCGAATTTTTAACACGTTCTATATACGTGTATTATATATATATATATATATATATATATATATATATATATATATATATATATATATATATATACTACAACCAAAAACAAAGAACGTAACACAATCTGTTTGTAATTCTTGCAAAAAAAATTTCTTTCATAATAATGCCTGGGAAATTATTTAAGACAAGTGAAATAGGGGAAATAATCACTCTCTTAATATAAATATGTATATATCTACGCATTTAATTATAAATGTCAAACAAATAAATAATTACTTTTGAATATAGTGAAATTGTTTAACATTATTCGTGTTTACAAAATGTTTTTGTCTATAATCATAATTTATTATATCGTCACCATAAATGCTTAAGTATTACAGCATAATGAAAGTTTTTAAAATCAGAGTTGGAATAAAACCACGCTTTTCGATAAAATGGAGAAACTTTCGGAATAACAGCCTACATTTAACTAAATATCGGTCATTTAGTTCAGAGCATATATTTTAATTAACTACTGCTTCTTTGAGTTCTTTAAAAATCTTTTTTCAACTTAGTGATAGGTATGGGTTAGATCACTGTATTGATCACACACCTTTTTACTGGTAATTACAATAACAATATTCACAGAGTTTTACGTTTAAAAAGCTAATTTTCTGGCGGCATGGTACTTTGGTACATCATTACGCATTTTTCTACATGTACTTAACAGATCAGTTCGGGGTGGGTTGGGGGGGGGGTTTCAACTTCATTCACCTCTGTCCGTTCATTTTAGGGCAATTATCCAACCCAGTGTATACCTAGGTGTGACATTAATGTCGCTCTACACAATTGTGGTGGTGAGGTGTGTGTGTGTGGGGGGGGGGGGAGATAACCAACTCAGAGTGAACATAGCGTCAGTTTTTAGATGACTGTTCTAAATATACATATATATTACACAAATATATATTACGCAAATATATATTACATAAATAGATTTAAATAAGTAGCAGTGGTATTATGACAATATTTTTTTTACGAAGGGGTCCATGGGGGAGGAGGGTTGTAACTGTATATATATAAAGTAATTATGTGTGAAGTTTTATGTATAACATTTTCTAATTCAATTATTCGTAAGCAAATACATTATACAGTTGCCTTAAACTTAACACCCCTCTTGCCAAGTGGTACTACCGTAGAGGTTTTTTAAACATTGCAATGCATCATAATGGTTATTTTTAGAATGGCAAACTGATGCAGCTGTTAATACGTGTTGTAAACGTAGAAACTACTAGACTAGTACAATAATGCTTAATTGCTGCATGAAACGAAATGTTGTGATTTACATAGATGTGCCGACCAAAAATATATTTTTAACAAATATCATTGTTTAAAACTTTGAGTTTAAAAAGTTTCCAAAAAGGCGCCACTTTGCTGAAAATGGCCAGAGGGGGAGCGGCCGCTCCCCCTGCTCCCCCCCTGCGTACGCTACTGATAGGTTGCCAGGGCTAGATATGCCAGAAAAGCATTTTAAAATTGCTTTGGAGAATGAGGGCTAAATTTTGAAGTAGGTGTGATTAAAATTAATACAACTTTTAAAGGGTCACCTGTGACGTCAGTTTATGAAGGGATAGTGTGGTCAGACCCATGCTCAGCCGAAATCGGTGATTTTAAAAGATAAAAAACGTCTTTTTGAATGTGGGGTCTGGTCAATGACGTAGCGAGGTCGGGTGTCACCCGGTGCGGCACTTAAATGGTGTCACCCCCAAAGGCGTAGCGACTTCCCGGGGACAAATTTTCGATTTGCACCCCTCCCCTCAAACTTTCGATTTGCACCCCCTCCCTCAAGTTTTCGATTTGCACCCCCCCCTCAAACTTTCGATTTGCACCCCCCCCCCCTCAAACTTTCGATTTGCACCCCCCCCGTCAAGTTTTTCTCTATATATTTTGCTTTTTTTTGCCTTGGGGTCACCCCTTAAATGGTGTCACCCGGTGCGGTCCGCACCCCCGCCCCCCCCCCCCCCCCTCGCTACGCCTCTGGGTCTGGTTATTTTGGGATGATAAGTGCTGACAGACGTGATGCCATTTATGGATGACCCCCGAAACCCACAATTATCTAACTAGATAACGGGTAGTCTAGTAGTTATTAATGTTTCAAATCAACAGCCATATTTAGAAATAGATACCGGGATTTGCCTAACGCAATACGATCCCGTCAAGAGAGATAATCTAAACTAATTTAGAATTTTTAACGTAATATTTCATTATCCCCCTTCTTTTCGTATATTACACATATGTCAATAGTTTTATCAACTCAATTTTAAAAGTTATTCCTAAATAAAATATTTTTTTCTATAACATTTAAATCACTATTTTCTTTAATCCTAAACCATTGAAATGTCGCCACAATCCCAGCATATATTCTCACGGTGGAGTTGACTTGACTACGAACCCCCTAAGGAGCAAAGGTTATGCAGCTTACCCCTTCACCGGACCCTGTCATATAGGGAAAGCGGGTGAAGTATGTTGGTGGTTTCTACAAGACCTTTAGCTAACCATGTAGGTCACACCAGAGCTATACTCAGACTAGGGGCCAGGACGGCTCTGGTGAAACTACCTGGGTAAACCAGCCATCAGTGGATATATTGTGAGTAGAGAAACTAGAGCTGGACACATTATCACAACAAATCCCACTCATGAAGATACCACCTCGATAGCATGACGTTGGCTGGTGAAAACCCGCGGGAATCAGACTATCGATACACCTCTTGACGAAAAACTTGAAGAATCGACCAAATCATCAAACTTGTATTACATATTTATAAAAATTTTGAAACCTAATCACAGGGAGTGATGAGGATTAAGATAAGAAGAAAATGGAATAGTTCCGAGCAAACAAATGTAAAATGTAAGCCACAAAATACTCAAGTTAGACAAGAAGCTCCTTAGAGCCGTATTATGATATGCCACAACAAACATTAGATAAGGTATAAAACGAGACAGTAAACTTTGTATGGGAGACATTAACTCCAACGCTGACAGTTGCAACAATTAAAAAAGTAAAAATTGCAGGAGTTGACTTGGTGAATTAAATGAATCAGCAAATTAAAAATAAAAATCTTTAAGTATTGAAACGTGTGCAGTACTCAGATAAATTGTCTATTGTTTGATTGTTTATTTCGCATTTGATCTTTCTATTTATAGAAACATCTGGTGTAGTACATGTATGGTCAACGAACATCACTTTATAACTAAATCTTTGTTTCAAACAGTTTTAGATAAGCATACAACAATGCTTTTTCGCAGTTCATACATAATACACAAGGCTGAATTCCACAATAAAGTGAAAAAAACAAACAAAAAACAAATGGCTATAATTTTACATCCGCCTAAAAGACAAGTGTGAATCATAGTTCTGCTAATCGTTTGACTCTTTTCAAATTACGATTGCTAACATTTAGAACTTGTGTCTTAGTTTAATTGTAACTTGGACTCTGTGGAGATGTAGTAGACAGCGAATACTTATTTGGATACTGTCTTTTTATGTTCGATTCTTAATTCAAGAAGGGTAAGCATGAACAGCGTTTAGCGAGAAAGTTTATTATTTTAGTCTTTTGTTGTCTGAAGTGATATTTGAATCAGTACGTCACACTAAGTACTTGAAGCTACGTATAAAAAGTCGAGCCTCTAATATCAGGTTATAACAATTGAAAACAATGGCAAACCAGCCTAATGCTTCATTCAATGTATCTGAAGAAGAAAGATGGGAATATCTGAACAGGCGCCAGTCGGACAACAACATTGCCAATATCCCATCATTTTTATTTATGGCTCTGGCTTTTGTCAGTGGAATCATCGGGAATTCCCTGATTCTAATTGTTTATTCACGGAAACGGAACAAAACACCAACTGTAATCTTGATCCAGGCTATAGCTGTGATGGACACACTCACTAATCTTGTTATGATTCCAGGTAAGATTTTTAGATAACAATTATCGAAAGTCATTAAAAAAAAAACACATGCTAGAATATTTATTTTAAAATAGTTCTCAACTATCTGCGCATAACAACTGCTAATCTCCAACTGCTTTGGAAAAAGACCTCGACTTTCCCATCACACACGCTCGACTTTTAACGCTTACGTTGATCAGCTGACCGTCACAAGTGATCAGCCAGTTTATTCCTAATTAATAATTCTTTTGGTTCTGGTTGACCAATGTCTAGCTGACTAACACTATATTACCTCTCTCCTTTCTTTGGCATATTTTTGACTAGTTTTACTTGCGCCATCACATAAAGCAATACAGTGAAACTGTTTTTGTTTAGCTCGCAACGACCTTCTGTTTGTTTGTTTGATTGTTTGTGGGTTTGCGGCAAATCTTGTAACTCAATTTTGACCCACCTCGAATGCAGCGATTTCGTTTAAACTTTCCACTTCAATGACAATTCAACCCTATTTATTTTGAAATTTAATTGATGTTTAGTTAGTCATTAAAAGTTAATCAAACGGTTTTGAAACTCAGGAGAGAAAACAAAACTAAATCACTCGATAGATTTCTACGGCCAATAACAGAATAGGAGATAACTAGCAAGACATGATCGCCCTATCAGTCTAGTGAGCTGTGGTTAAAGAGAATGTCTACAATCATGGAGTCGGTAGATCTGAGAAGGCTATTAGGAACAGATAATAACATTTTTAAACAATTTTAAACTAAGGGCAGGTAGTGAGATTAAGAACTATCCTTCACCATATGAGCTTGCTGATGTCTGTAAATTCACGGGCTTAATAATCGTCTTTCAGATATCACGAACTTCTAATGGTTTTTGAAGCAAATATGTTTAATCGTGGCGACTTCGTAAATTAGGAATCACTAAACATTAAAAACTTAAACACATAAAAAAAAACAACTTTATAACAAAAAATCTTTTAAATGCACTGAAAATAAGAAAATAAAACTAAACTGCTTTCTTTCATAATCATTTTGATAAAAAATGAAAAAGATCTCATGAGCGACAAAAGCTTTTATGAAAGAAAGCAGATTAATTTTATTTTCTTATTTTCAGTGGATTTAAAAGCGTGTTGCTATAAATGTTTTTTAAAATATAAAAAAAATGTTTTTTTTTTTATTGCAGGTACAGCTTATCAAATGAGTCACACATGGACGTACACAAATGTCACCATCTGTAAATTGCATTATTTCTGTAACAGTGTGACATCGTGGACATCGGCCATTCTGTTGTTGGTTGTTGCCATAGTTAGGTACAAAACGTGTTTCGTAATAATTTATATTTTAGCGCCAATTTAGTTGTTAAAAAAGTGCATTGTATTAAGGGAACAGAAAATATCTATCTTTTTCACAGATACAGGAAGATCTGCAAACCTTTTGGAAAACAAATCAACAACAAAACAACCAAAATAATTTGCGCCTTCGTTGTAGTATTGTCGATCGTATTCAGCTTACCGTTTGCAGTCTTCTATGGCATCAAAACTTCAGACATTGGGCATAAAGGCAAAATACGCTACAACTGTGGAGTATCTGACGCGTATGTCCACTCACCCTGGCCAATGATTTGCCTCGGGCTGTTTATTATTGTCTTCATTACCTGTTCCGTGACCCTTTCCACGCTCTACATTTTGATTGGTTTAGAGGCCAGAAGACGCCGAGTCTACTCAGGTGTGGTATCGATACAAACAAATAATCGGCTACAATACATTGAGCAGATTAGAGTAGAAGTCAATCGACCTTCAGACGAGTCACATAGTGAATCGGATAAAGCGCATGACATGGATATGTCAAGAATAAATCACGTAAATCATGATTGCAATCTTAGCACCGATGTCGTAAATACAACAGAAACTGATGTAAGTGATAATGATGTATCTTTCAAAAACAACACAGCCGTTCCAACTCCAGTGACCACTACATCTGTTCCTGCAGTGAACTCTAAAGACGTGTCTTCAGACACCATTATATCTGCTGCAACAGCGATCTGTAATGCAAGTCAAGCATCAAGTCACAAAGATAAAAAAATCAAGAAAACAAGACATCAAAAACCTGCAGGTAAAACAACTCGTATGCTAGTAGCAACCAGCGTCATCTACATCATCAGCTACCTGAGTACTTTTGTCACAATTTTGGTAGCAATCGCCTTCAAGTTAACCGGTAAATTGTCATTGGTTGAAGTTTCAATGTTTAACTTTTTCCTCGTTATGTTCCTCGTCAACAGTTCAGCTAATCCGTTTATTTACAGCATTTGTAATCAAAGGTTTAGACAAGAATGTTTATCTATACTTATGCGTTTATTTAAAAGGTAAGATGCTATCAAAGTGTCATTTTCACAGTGTAAGATATCGGTTTTAGCAAAGAAGCACTATGTTCTTTATCATAGTTGATCTAACTACTCTATCAATTATGTTTCAAATGTATTTATAAATGAATTTTAAAAGATCTTTGTAAAAAGGAAGGATAAATCGGAAACTGTAATTGCTAACACTTTACTCTAAAAGGTCACAGATCATTCATAGTTTCAGTTTCGTGAGTTTAAGCTAACACCATTTCCCACAAAATTTTAAACTCTACTTATGCTGAGCTTTTTTCAGTTAAAATTTTAGATTATCTTATGTTTTTCACAGATTAATGAGTTGCATTAAATTGGCATGCGAATATGGGGTATATAATTTATAAAGAAAATGTTAAAACATTGATAAAAAGCTCTTTAAAAGCAATTAGAAGCAATTAAATTACGGTCCATATTTTGTACAATTTTTCTGTTTATGAGACACGATCCAGTTAAAACTGATAAACTTGAAGTGTGACGAAATTCTCAATCGTCATGTTGAAAAACTAGACGTAACTTATGCAAATGTCACTGTGACCCAGGGGCGGTACTACAGTGCCGCCAGAGCCCCCCCAACCCCCCCCCCCCGGGGGGGGGGGCTCGCCATTTGGGGACCACAGCCGACCATAATTATTTTTTTATAGTTAAAAAAAAATGTTTTTGCATTTTTGACTTGACGGTTGTTTTGTAAAAAGAATACTGTAGTTATATGAATAACTATGCTTAAGAAAAAGCACTTTTTGATTTTGTTTTTTGTTGTTTTGTGTTTTTTATTGCCTTGCGATGTTCGCTTTAATATTAGTTTTCATCATCGGCTTGTGAGGACTATGTGCATATTTCCAATACAAAACGTGTAAATTCAAATTTTAAAACCCGAAAAATTATAAAATGAATTTGTTGTCAATTTGATGACCTTTAATGAGTTGAGATTGTCTGAGTAATATAAATAGAACATCTATGCTTTGTGTTGGAGATAGTAGGGGTTGTGGGTTTATAACTGGAGCTGAAATAAATTTACGGCATTAAAAAATATAGAAAGCATGGATGATATGAAGAGTAAATAGGAACAATTCAACTAATTATTTCACCTTCAAACAGCTACTTCTACAACAGTACAACCTACAGAGATTTCTTTAATTCTTTTGGTGTTAAACAGTTTTATTAATAACGTATGTACAATAATGAATGAAGGAAACAAAAATCACTAATAATTAGGTTAAAATAGCTGTTAATATATGCAGCAACATTCTCTTTCAGTGGATTGACAGTTGTTTTGATCAACAAGAGGACTGAAAATCAAAATACAATTGACAAAAATGTGCAAGTAACTACATATGTTAAAGTGATATGTATAATTGGATGCAATGACTTTTTAAAATCTGTACTGATTTGGGTTCTTTGTCTAGGGGTATTCAGGACAACACAACGTTTAGCATACGATACAACAGACTAGATAACACTAATGATGATACTAAATAATACTTAGAAGATATATATATATATATATATATATATATATATATATATATATATATATATATATATATATATATATATATATATATATAAATTCTACAATAACATACTAAATAATAAACAGTTTACGACGCAAATAACGATACACAATGCTTAACACACTCCACGTCCTCCTCCAAAACCTACACCCCTACCAACTGCCACCACACCCTGGCACACGCTCTGTCACCCGTCAACTGACAATCCTAACGTAAACACCTCTAGTTCTATGTAAACACACTCAATTACGGGCTACAACTACCTATATACAAAAAAGGTACCTGGCATTCGGGCACACAACACACACACACAATCAGGGGACGCTACATGTAAATGATGTAACACACTGGTTAAGGTTTTGTGACGGATAGTATTTTTCAATATAGACTATAACGAAATACAGATTTTTCATTCAATTAATTTGTAAAAGATGACAATTGATAATAGGTAAGTGTTAATGTTTAGGCTTATTATTATAATAAAGGATTATTATTATTGAATTCCAATTAACATTTTACCACTGCCATGGAATTACTAATAATTTTTCTCCCTGTGCTTATTGTAAATGTTCAAAAACGTAGAAGTTCGAACAAATTAATATTCAATATTAAACTCACATTCCTCTCAAAGCTATTTCACTAACTGATAATTTGATTCCTCCAACGAGCTGATGGAACCTTGCCACTATCTAATACTAATACTAGGTTTACACTAATGTTGGTCATGATAATCATATTAATTTGTATTTTTTAAACGCACGATCGCCAAAGATTCCTTCTCAATCGTTGCGTAATTTTTATTGACTCGGACAGCTTCCTGTTAAAGTAGACAACTGGTGTAGATGGTATATATATGTATATATATATATATATATATATATATATATATATATATATATATATATATATATATATATATATATATATATATATATATATATATATATATATATATATTTCGCCGTCACTTCACCTGACCAGAGTTTTTCTTACAAGTAAAACATCCGCGTCATATTTTATTTTCAGCTACAGGTTCATACATTGATAGGTTGTACACAGTCTTTAGTGATCATTTATCGTAGAACCGATTGTTTATTTTAAAATAGGTTGATAACTTTATTGAAAAGTTAAAACCTAAGAAAAATGTAAAATAAATACTTAGATTGATCAAACTTAAAGCATCACAAGAAGATCAGGTTCCCCTTAAGCTAACTGTTGAAATAAAAAGAAACAATCCCTCCTAAAGTTTTGATTTACAAATGCTGTAGATAAATGGATTGGCTGCACTGTTGATTAGATACAAGACTTCAACAGGTTTAGTACGGTAACTTCAAAAAACTAAGTCGGCTGGTTAGTTCAAACACATCATACAACAAAATTACTGTGAGGGTCGCGAGGTAGCTGATGATGTAGATGACGCTGGTTGCTAGCAACAACCGGGTGGTTTTTCCACTTGTCTTCTCTCCTGTTTTTGCTGTCTTGTTGTGAACATGTGATGGATTTGTCGACGTTTGATTGGTTGTGTTGGACACTGTACAGACATCAGTAGAGGTCAATTTAGAAACTACTATACGGTCAGCTGCTGGGCGTGTGGTTGGTGCGTCTATGTCGCTGGATTCCGTGTCCGATTCCGGCTTCCGATCCAATTATAACGTTCATTGTCGTCAGAGTGAAACAACAGGACAGGAAACCCACAATGTACAGCCCATGGCAAACCGTTGGCCAGATGGATTGATGGTACTCGGCGGCCACCCCACAGTCATAGCCCAGAATCCCCTTGTGTCCAGTGTCGACCGTTATCTGACCGTAGAAGATTGCAAATGGGAGACTGAACACGAGAGATAGACCAACAACACAGACACAAATTATCTTTGTTTCCGTGATGTTAAGTTGTCTTCCAAATGGTTGACAGATCTTCCTGTACCTAAGAAAAAACAATGTATCACGATTTTATTTCGTTAAAACATAACACACATTAAATATAAAACAGATACTACAATGAAAAGTAGATACATAACTACAAATTTGATATAGTAAATTAAATCATTTCGCTTCTGGCTTGGAATAATCAAGTTTTAAAATATTTTTCATTTACGCCCACCGAAAATTATGAATAGTTTTACTTCTTATTTGGCAAGTCGGTCAAAGACTATGAATCAAAGAAACTTGATGTGTAAAGGTTTCCCGCGCTCTTTTTCGTCAGGATGCTTACATTTAATAATTCTTAAGAGAAGAATTTTTAGTTTTAATTTGCATAGTAAAAAACTATTTTAATTAGTTTTATCAGCACACAGATTCGACTATTTAAAGGAGAGAATAAGTCATAGAAGTTATTTAAGGATTTGCCTATTTTTCATACAACAACTTATGTAGTTTTCTTTTTCTCTACGCAAAAGTGTGTTTTAGTTGCTGTAGAACAATCACTGCTACAATCGATTGGTTTTTGTTTTTGTTTTTACATAACCACTAGTCTATCAAGGTGCAAAATATATAATTTTTTTGTCGGATTTTGTTTCCCACGGCATGCGTTATGCGCCAACCCAAAAAGGACGCAAACATGATAGGTAATATTATAAAGCGTTCATTACTTAATTATATATAGTTGAAATAAATTATGTGGATCTGCTACTTGGCATTACAGACTTATTGAATTATTTACTAGATCTACATCAATTGTGTGACACCAAAATAATAAAGCGTGAGTGATCTCCCCAAAACTTTCTCGAATATACTTATATAACACTCCGAAATTTTGATAAATCTGGATTTATAATTTTTGTCCAATTAAAATAAGTCCCCTATAATCCGTATATGATGAAGTACTGGGGTGTAAAACGATTTTTGTGCACGATTACAATACTTCCTCTATAGGTCTACTCCGTATACGATAAAGTAAAAAGGCAAAGTGACTGTTAAAAAATGAGTAAAAACAGAGTTTCTTCCAGGCATATCTTAGGGGGGAGGGGCGGAATCCCCCCCCCCCCCCAAAAAAAAAAGTCTACCACCCCCCGAACGAAATGGAATTTGAATAGAAAATATATTCTTTTAACAGTGCCCCCCCTCCCGAAATTTTAGTCGGTTGTCCACCCCCTCCCCCCGAAAATTTCAAGTGCCCCCCCCCCCTCCCGGAGAAAAAAAAAGTCTGGAAGAAACACTGGTTAAAAAGCGCCCCGACGTTTTCGAATAAGGGAGGTAGGGGCGCATTTTAACCAACGCGAATACATATTTATAGGTCTAATTTGAAGATGGGGCGTAAAATTGATAGTTCGCCCTAGGCACCTAAATAGATCGCTACGCCTTTGTATATAATAAATGTAATCTAATAAAAGGTATAAATTATTAGATACTTTTTAATAATTGCGATTTCACATTTTTTCCTACGGACAGCGCCCTAGGCGACCGCCTAGTTCGCCTAGTTCGAGGAAAAATGATTACGTAATAATTCTTCCTCGATTCTCTCGCTTAAAAGTAGATCTAAAAAGATAATACTGCTGGATTAGAGATAATTCATAAATTAGAAATAAGAGATTCGACTTCACGTACTTCGCTGGCGGGGGATTTCCCTTATATCACAACATATTTATTACCTCAGCTGCGTGCTAATCGTTTGCAGCAATACCACGCCCTATATTTATCTATAAGAAAGAACATTACAATATAACATCAGAAACAACTTATGACACAGACACGTTTTACAAGCGATACAGAATATAATGAAAAGTATTTTAAAACGCTATTTACATTTTGGATGCCAATTCCCCAGGAGTAGTCTCCCGTGGTTAAGTAAAGACAGGCATGAGTGATTTCCGTAGCTTGGTTTAGAGTTTTAATGGTGACGTCATGGTTCTTTTAAGTAGCCCTACTTTCAAAAATACTGATTATTCGATAAATAACTGATAACATAGCGAAGAAAAAAAAAACCCCAATCCAATGCTGCATAAGAAACCAATTTTTGCCTGGTATTAAAAAAAAAACTAACAAAAATGAACAGGTAGTTTATATAAACTGCATTCTAGATCAAATTATATTTTCAATTCTAGTTTTGAAATATAATTAAAATTTACGGAAGCATTTCTGGATTAAAATTGAGAAATTAATGCCGATGAGAATAGTTAATAATGTTTCAAATCTGACCGTGGTAGATGTTTATAGCTTATGTTAGAAGGTGAACAACAGCCATATTTAAGAATAGATACCAGGATTTGCCTAATGCAATACCATCCCGTCAAGAGAGATAACCTAAACTAATTTAGAATTTTTAACGTAATATTTCATTATCCCCCATCTTTTCGTATATTTCACATGTCAATAGTTTTATAAACTCAATGTTAAAAGTTATTCCTAAATAAAATATTTTTCCTATAACATTTAAATCATTATTTTCTTAAAGCCTGAAAAATTATGTCTCCTCAATCGCCGTACATATTCTCGCCGCGTGGAAGATGACTTGACTTCGGAGCCCCTAAGGAGCAAAGGTCCTGCAGCTAACCTCTTCACCGGACCCTGTTTTGGGCAGTTCTCTTTATTTTAGCTCTTGTAAACCCAGCAGCCCTTACTCCAGGGTAGCTACAGTCGGCCTACACATCTTTTAGCCTGGGGGTTCCAGTCTAAGGTTTTCCACTTGATGTTTTCCTCTTGCCGTTGTGGAAGCTAGTAACAGGTCATATAGGGAAAGCCTGGGAGTGGGTGAAGTATGTTGGTGGTTTCTACAAGACCGTTTCGCTAACCATGTAGGCCACACCAGAGCTATACTCAGACTAGGAGCCAGGACGGCTCTGGTGAAACTACCTGGGCAAACCACCCATACATGGATATATTGTGAGTAGAGAAACTAGAGACGAACACATGATCATAACAAATCCCACTCATGAAGATACCACCTCGACAGCATGACGTTGGCTGGCGAAAACCCGCGGGAATCAGACTATCGATACACCTCTTGACGAAAAACTTGAAGAATCGACCAAATCATTAAACATATATTATATGTATTATATACATGCCGGATCTATGTGAAACTAGATAGAATAGTTCCGGGCAAGTAAACCTAAAATGTAAGCTACAAAATACTCTATTTAGACAAGAAGCTCCTTAAGGCCATATTATGATATGCCACAACAAACGTTAGATAGGTTAGAAAACGAGACAATAAAATTTTTATAGGAGACATTAACGCCAACGCTGACAGTTACAACAATGGGAGGAGTGGACTTGGTAAATTAAATGAATTAGAAAATTAAAAAAAAAACTTTAAGTGTTGAAACATGTGTGCAGTTATCAGATAAGTGGTCTATTGTTTGATCTTTTATCTCGCTGAATACACAAGGCTGAATTTCACAATAAAGATAAAAAAAAACAACAAACAAAGCAAAAATAAAAAACAAATGGCTATAATTTTACATCCGCCTTTAAGACAAGTGTGAATCATAGTTCTGTTAATAATTTGGCTCTTTTTTAATTGTGATTTCTAACATTGCGAGCTTGTGTCTTGGTTTAATTGAAAATTGGACTCTGTGGAGGTCTAGTAGACAGCGAATAGGCATTTGGATACTGTCTTTTTTGTGTTTGATTCTTAATTCAAGAAGTGTAAGCATGAGCAGCGTTTAGCGAGAAAGCTTGTTGTTTTAGTCTTTTGTTGTCTGAAGTCTAATTTCTATCAGAAACAAGTCGAGCTTCTTATGTCAGATATAACAATTGAAACAATGGCAATCCAGCCAAATGCTTCATTCAATGTATCTGAAGAAGAAAAATGGGAATATCTGAACAGGCGCCAGTCGGACAACAACATTGCCAATATCCCATCATTTTTATTTATGGCTCTGGCCTTTTTATGTGGAATCATCGGGAATTCCCTGATTCTAGTTGTTTATTCTCGGAAACGGAACAAAACACCAACTGTAATCTTGATTCAGTGTATAGCTGTGATGGACACACTCACTAATCTTGTTCTGATTCCAGGTAAGAATTTTTGATAACGATTGTCGAAAGTCATTAAAAAAAACACATGCTAAATTATTTATTTTAAAATAACCATCAACTATCTGCTAACAACAACTGCTAATCTCCAACTGCTTTAAAAATACTCGACTTTCTCAAACATGCTCGACTGACCAACTGCCTTAAAGCTTGGGTTGATCAGCTGACCGTCACACGTGATCAGCCAGTTTATTCCTAATTAATAATTCTTTTGGTTCTGCTTGACCAATGTCTAGCTGACTTACACTATACTACCTCTCTCCTTTCTTTGATCTGTTTTTGAGTAGTCTTACCTGCGTCATTATATATTTTGCAGCGTCTGTTTGTTATTGTTTGTTGTTTGTTTATTTGTGGATTTGTGGCAAGTCTTGTAACGAAATTTGACCCACTTCTAATGCAGCGATTTTGCTAAAACCTTCCAGATATGTTCCACATCGATGATAATACATGTATTTTAACAAGGTTTTATTTAGTTAGCACCGTCCATTTGTTTGTTTATTAGTGGGTTTGAGGCAAATCTTGTAACTAAATTTAGACCCACTTCAAATGCATCAATTTCGTTTAAACTTCGCCCGACCCCTGAAGTGGAGCTGTCCAAAACATTTATCAGGCTCTAAACTTCTAAAACGCAGAAACAACTTATGACACAGACACGTTTTTACAAGCGATAAGAATATAATGAAAAGTATTTTAAAACGCTATTTTTTGTTTTGGATGTTGTTTCCCCAGGAATAGTCTCCCCTGGTTAAGTAAAGTCCGTAGCTTGGTTTAGAGTTTAAGTGGTGACGTCATGATCATTTTAATAAGTCACCCAATGTTACAAACTAATCCTTCTTCGATCAGTAACTGATAAAATAGAGAAAAAAAAACAACAAACCCAAACCAATACTGTATTTTAAAACCAATTTTTGCGTGTTATTAAAAAAAAACTAAAACAAGTGAGCAGGAACTTTATATAAAAAGCATTTCTAGATGAATTCAAATTTTAAATTCTAGTTTTGAAACATACTTTGAAGTTACGGAAGCATTTTTTTATTAAAATTGAAAAATTAAGGCTGATCACTTATTAATAACAACCGTGGTAGAAACTTATACCTTTTGTTAGAAGGTGAATAACAGCTATTTTAAAAGCTTTTATTTAGTTCGCTATATCAGTTTGCTTGTTTGTTGGTGCGTTTGTGGCAAATCTTGTTGCTCAATTTTACCCACTTCTAATGCAGCGATTTCGTTCAAACTTTCCAGATACGTTCCACTTCAATAACAATTTAAGTCTATCAATTTTTTAAATTTAATTAGCCGTTTAATTAGGCATAAAAGTTTAGTAAACGTTTTAGACAATAAGGGAAAATAACAAAACTAAAACACTCGATAGATTACTATTTTCAATAACAGAAAGGGAGATAATTAGCTAGACTTTATCATCCTAACAGTGGGGTGAGATGCTGTTCACGATATCTGGTTCTAGTAAAGGATTTTAGGGGCAGATAATACATTTTTCAACGATTTAAAACCAAAGAGAGGTAGAGGGATTTAGAACTATCCTTCACTATATCAGGTTGGCGATGTCTATAGATTGTGGGCACTGATGGCTGCTTTCACGGGACAGATATCGGGAGCTAATGGTGGTGTTTTGAAGCAAATAATGAAACTAATCTGCTTTCTTTTATAAAAGCTTTGGTCGCTGATGAGATTTTGTAAATATTCTATCCACCAAGGCTTTTATGAGAGAAAGCTGATGTTTTATTTTCTTTTTTTCGGTGCATTTTAAAAGATTCTTGCTATAAATGTTTGTTATATTTATTTTATTAAATATTTGTGTTTATTGCAGGTACTGCTTACCAAATAAGCCACACGTGGACGTACAAAAATGTCACCATCTGTAAATTGTATTATTTCTGTAACAGCGTGATATCGTGGACATCGGCCATTCTGTTGTTGGTTGTTGCCATAGTTAGGTACAAAACGTGTTTCTTAATAATTTACATTTTAGCTTCAAATTTAGTGGTTAAAAAACCGCAGTAACTTGTTTAAATGGAAAGAATAAAATATTTATCTTTTTCACAGATACAGGAAGATCTGCAAACCTTTTGGAAAACAAATCAACAACAAAACAACAAAAATAATTTGCGCCTTCGTTGTTGTATTGTCAATAGTATTCAGCTTACCGTTTGTAATATTGTATGGCATTATTACTGCACACACTGGGCATAAGGGCATCACAGGCTACAACTGTGGAGTATCTGACGCGTATGTCCACTCACCCTGGCCAATGATGTGCTTCGGACTGTTTATCCTTGTATTCATCACCTGTTCTGTGACCCTCTCCACGCTCTACATTTTGATTGGTTTAGAGGCCAGACGACGCCGAGTCTACTCAGGTGTGGTATCGATACAAATAAATAATCGGCTACAACACGTTCAGGATATTAAAGTAGAAATCACTCGACCTTCCGACGGGTCACACAGTGAATCAGATGAAGATCTGGAACAGGGTATGTCAAGAACAAATGACGTAAGTCAGGATATTACCAATGAAACAGAAACTGATGTCAGTGATACAAATGTATCTTTCGAAAACAACACAACTATCCCAGCTCCAGTGGTCACTATAGCTGTTCCTGCAACGACTACTAAAGATGTGTCCTCAGGGACCATTACATCAAGTCACAAAAATACAAAAATCAAGAAAACAAAAAATAAAAAACGTGCAGGCAAAACAACTCATATGCTAGTAGCAACCAGCGTCATCTACATCATCTGTTACCTGAGTACTCTTGTCACGATGTTGATATTTGTCACCTTTAAGTTAACCGGTAAATTGTCGTTGGCGGAAGTTTCAGTTTTTAATGTTTTCCTTGTTATGTTCTTGGTGAACAGCTCAGCTAATCCGTTTATTTACAGTATTTGTAATCAAAGCTTTAGAGTTGAATGTTTATCTCTACTTAATCGTTTATTTAAATGGTGAGAAGCTATAAACGTGTCATTTTTACTATTGGCAACAGTTGAAGATAGTGCTTTTAGTAAAGAAGCATTATGTTCTTTATCATAGTTGATCTAACTACTCTATAACTAATATTTCAAATGTATTTATAAAGGATTTTTTAAAATCTGTGTAAAAAGGAAGGTAATATCGGAAATTGTAATTGCTAACACTTTAATGTCAGAGGTCGCAGATAATTCAAACATCATTACCCCTGCGTAGAGTTAGGCTAATGAAACTGTGACGTTTAGTTTCCGTTTCGTTTATTTAAGCTAACGCCTTTTCCCCACAACATTTAAAACTCTACGTATGGTGAGACTTTTCAGTCAAGATTTTGCGAGATTATCTTAATGTTTTTCAAAGATTATTGTGTTTCATTAAATTGCCATGCGAATTAGGGTGAGTTAAAACTAATAAACTTGTATTTTGACGACAATCGCATTCGTTATGTTGAAAAACGAGGCGTAACATATTCAAATGTCACTGAGAAAAAAGGCAGATATACAAAAGATATTAAATCAAGGTTTTAAAACTGTAGAAATCTTCGTCGCGTAGTGGGTAGTGTACAAGAAGACAGAATTAGCACATTTTTTTTTGCTTACCTTGCTTTTTGAAAGTTATCTTGATTTGGTGATGGGAAAAAGAGGTGAACATAGTACTCGCAATTGTAATTTGTAGCACTAGATAGAAATATCACAACAGTGATACATATATGATACTCAATAAAAAATTTCAGTCGATTAATTTCCTATATGTCCTAAAAACTTTAGATTTTATTTTGCATTGAGATGTGTTGTTTGCTATATCATCTTGTCCGTAATACTATATGTCTTGAAATTATTTTTGACTACATAAACATATAAAAAAATAAATACATAAATAAAAAAAATGTATATATATATATATATAAATGTATATGTAGCATTATATATAATTATTTATTTAAATATACATTTATATATGAATACATATGCTGAAGAAAAAACACTTTTTGATTTTGATTTAATTTTTCTTTTGGTGTATTTTTTTTTGCCTTGCGATGTTCGCTTAAACATTAGTTTTTACCATCGGCCTGTGAGGACTATGTACACATTTTCAATACTAATACTTATTTTTGACGTGCAATTTATTTCATTGACAGTAGTTAATTTACTAAATGTACAAAACGTGTATATTCAATTTTTAAAACCCAAAAAATTATATAAAGAATGTATAGTTAATTTGATGACATTTTTAAGGAGATTGGATTGGCTTAGTAATAGAAATAGAACGTCTCTGCTTTGTGTTGGAGATGGGGAGGGGTTGTGGGTTGTAGCTGAAGTAAATTTGAGGCTTAAAAATATAGGTAGCATGAATGATATGTAGAGTAAAATGGGAAACTTCAACTCCTTTTTTCTCCTTCAAACAGCTAGATCTACAAAAGTAAACCCTACAGTGATTTCTTTAGTTTAAAAAATGTTTTGTGGTGTTTATCAGTTCTATTAATAAAGTAGGAGCAATAATGAATGAAAGCAACAAAAATTAATTAAAATTAGATTAAAATTGCTGTTAATTGATGCAACGACATTCTCTTTCTGTTGACCGACAGCTTTTTCTTTCTACAAAAGGACCTAAAATTAAAATACAATTAGAAATATGTGCAAACAACTACATAATAATATGTTACGGAGATATGTATACTCGGATACAATGACATTTTTAAAATCTTTACTGTGTTGGGTTATTCTGTCTAAGAAAATTCAGGAAAATGTCAACAACGAAAAAAAAAATTGCAATTTTATAACAGTCGATTTAGGTTAATAAACCCACGTATGATGCGATGTTTAAATAAAGTAAATACCTTTTCGAACCTAACGGTCAATGTGGCAGGTGAAACAGAGCACCTGTTTCAGTGGCCTTGGCATTTGAAGGGATAGTTTGGTCAGCACTATGCATAAGCGCCTTGTATGTCAGGACATAAGAATGCGCCAATTATTATGTCGCCCACACCTATGGCAAACATACAAACGAGAGCCTGTATTGTTTACGAAGTCTGAAGATTGTAAAAAAAATTCCTTACCAGAAATAGTTAACACATTAAAAAAAATGTAACCAACATCGCGGTAAAGTGAAAACTAAATACAATATAAGCAGGTTCCTGACTAGCTTGTTGCTTGAAGTAAGCTTGATTCAGTATCAACATATCGAGATAAGGTTGATTCAGTATCAACATATCGAGATAAAGTTGATTCAGTATCAACATATCGAGATAAAGTTGATTCAGTATCAACATATCGAAATAAAGTTGATTCAGTATCAGCATATCAAAATAAAGAAAGACATAATGCACCCCATTCAAAATTTAAGCACTATATATAGATCTGCAACAGTGGACTATGTTTGGGGTTAAACAATATGCACAGGTAACTTTACTTTGAATGATGGTTTATGTTCATTGGTTGCGGTATGTAATTCAAATTATTGTATCGTAAGTGTACCTGTTGTTATGTTAGTGTTGGTTCGATTGTTAACATTGTCAGTCTGACATGGAACAGAAAGTATTAAAACGAGAACAACTATTTATTGTTGTTTCCTACTGAACCATGAGAAATATTATATATATATATATATATATATATATATATATATATATATATATATATATATATATATATATATACACTATTAGAAAGTCTCGACGTTATTGTATTTATTAAATATTTGGTGGTCAAATATATACATTTTTAAATGGACCATCCTCATTTCAATGTTGACGCTTATAACGGAACTAGATCTAGTACTTGTTTTGTAACAACTTTTACTAAACTATACTAATTCAAGATGAACAAACATATCTTGTCAGTTGTATGTTGAATGCAGAAACTATGACGTCGATTCGCCATTGACTGATGTTTTTTTAAAAACAGGATCAGCTGTCGTCGTGACCTTAGTTTCAAGGACGGGTTGATTTTACTTATATCACTCGACTTAATTACTTTGCTTTCTCTTGTGTATTAATTTACTCTTTTACTCTAATGGACTTAATAAGTTTCATTCAGCTAATGAGATATTCATGGAGATATAGCTAATTGCCTGATCATTTATTGAAGATTTATTTGTCCAAGCCACGTCCTTTAAACTACATTTGATTATTTATATTTGGTGAGAACACATTTAATGCCAACACTTACATCCTAGGGAATGCGAATACAGTAGGTTATCAGGGCTACAATAACTCCCAAAAATCAGTAGTTTACAATCGTCTATAACATCAACATTCTGCCAAATGTATTCGTTGATTTAAAATATAATGTAGTGTATACAGCCAAACACAGGGTGCGGCGAAAAAGATAGAGAAACTGTGGCGAAATAAATAGAGAAATAGCGAGACGTGAGATAAAACACACAAAAAATACACAGCCATACAACAAACGATTTTGTTTTAGTTTGTACAATTTATTTAAAAAGCTAATTGTGTCACATTTTAGTGATGCAAACTTTAAAGGAACCAAACCTTATTTTTACAATATAATGGAGACGGTAACGGATCCTGAAGTACTTGAATGTACTAGACCAACGCAAGCAACGGATGCTGACCTACTTGTGCATACGAAGCCACCGAAAAAAACAGGACATCGTCCCATGTTTAAGGAGGGTCATCCATTTTTGACGTGAAGTCAACGGAGCGTAGGAGGGGGGCAGTTGGTGTAAAGAATGTGTATTTTGATGATTAAGTGTAATTGAGAGAGGGGATGTTTAGGTCCGTTTGGAGTTCCACATCATTAAACATCTAATCACTAATATTGAAACACACTGCACACTGTTGTGATGTGAGGACAGGGTCGACAATACACCAAAACGAAGTCCGTATACAATTAACTTCTTTATATCCTGAAAGTACATGCGAGACCTAGGCTGCCAATTAGAGAATGGACACCCAAACTTTCCTAAGCCCACTTTTTATACCCCACCTAACCTCTGAGTTTCATGCGCTATATGTCAATTCCCTCCCAATCGTTCCTATGCTACATAATTGTGTGTACTATTTACTTACATTCTTTAACCTTAATATAACTAAAGAATTCATAAAAACGTTTAAATCACAAGCTTTTAAGTAATAATGCACTAAAATGGAGAAAATATATTATACACTACTATTTAAATTACTGTAAAGATGTAAAGAAAAGCGTTGGTCACTTTAGTATCTATTGGATACATGTACTAATATTTTGGAAGAGACCCACGCTTTTCTTTATAGTAATTCAAATAGTAGTGTATAATTTATTTTCTACTTTTTAGTGCATTATTACATAAAAGCTTGTTATTAAAATGTTTTTTATGATTTTTTTTTCAGTACTTTACATGTTTTATTTTCACTAGCGTGACATGACTAAAAACCATTGCGCGTCTATTGAACGTGATGGCGCAGCTATTGAACGTGATGACGCGTGTGGTGTGGTTGGATAGACATGCCTACTAATTCGGTCCAAATTTTAATTAATTCATAAAAAAATTAATTAGGCATCCAATTAAGTCAAATTTAATGTCATGATGTATTGTCTTCATGTCTCGACCCACGTGCCAAGTGTGAACCGTATCGGTCAAGTAGAAGTGTCCGAATTTTCACTCCGGCGTTTCGATCTAGACAGACTGACGACTGACGACAGACTTTCGACAGAGGAATCGAGTTAAATAAAAGCTTGTAAAAACAAAACAACTTAGGCTAAAATACTAGACTAGTATGTCGACCAGGCGTGGATGAATCCGTGTACATTTACCGGATCTTGTGCTACTCACGGTCATGTACGTCATGTAGGTCATATAGGTCCTTTAAGGTATGTAGGTCAGCTGAACACTTGACGAGCTAGCTACACGTATAAGACAAGTGTGAGTGCGAGTTCAATGGTCACATAAAAAACCACATGCTGAGCTTTGCTAATCACTCGGATCGTTATAAATATTTTCTAATAAATCATATTTCTTTCTTTAAAACAACCGGACACTGTTGAACTCAAGTAGTCAATAAATTTTATTTAAATGTAGATATTTAAAAAAAAACTAGGTGATAAAAGTTTGGTTTCTACAAGAAAATCATCAGACAAACATAGCACAAAGGGAAATGAAACAATTGCAATTACTTATGTCAAATGTAACAATTGAAACAATGGCAAACCAGCCTAATGCTTCATTCAATGTATCTGAAGAAGAAAAATGGGAATATCTGAACAGGCGCCAGTCAGACAACAACATTGCCAATATCCCATCATTTTTATTTATGGCTCTGGCCTTTTTATGTGGAACCATCGGGAATTCCCTGATTCTAGTTGTTTATTCACGGAAACGGAACAAAACACCAACTGTAATCTTGATCCAGACTATTGCTGTGATGGACTTTCTCACTAATCTTGTTATGATTCCAGGTAAGATTTTTTTGGTATGACATGTCAGTTAAAGCATCAGCATCTTTTCCTTTTTGTACCCAAGACACATGGGGCCGCCCAAGCAAGCTCCCTCCGAGTTGTTGGTCTCCATCAATTTTCCTGACAGTCCCCCATGACAGTCCTGCCTCAGCCAGCTGCTTCCCCGCCGTGCGCCTCCACGTCGCCCTTGGCCTTCTCTGCGAAATGATCTGGATTCGTTTCTTATGAGGTTCCTCATCCTGCGATATCCTCTTTTTCGTTTATTTCGGAAACAGCTTCCATTTCCATCTCTCCGATTAGTATTGTATTGGAAAAGGTGTCAGGCCAGTGTATACCTTTTATCATTCGCAAGAATAGGAGTCCAATGATCGTTTGGCGATGGTTGTTACTTTCCAGCATTCGCTGCCATACATTAGGTTGCTAAGAATATTACTTTTTGAAAGTCTGCATTTGGCCTTGGAGTAGATTTTCTTTGATCTCCATGTTTTTTGCATGTGAGTAAATAATCTGAATAAAAAAAATAATATTTATTTTAAATGAACCGTAAATGAATTCTTAACAAGTTTATAATGTTATGTTGCCAATGTCTGAAATCCGCAACACAAAAAGTTGAAGGCATTTAATCTTCATTTTGTTTGCTTTTTTTTCAGGTGTATTTTACCAAATGAGCCACACCTGGACGTACACAAATGTCATCATTTGCAAGATGTTTTTTTTCTTTAACAGTTTGATATCGTGGACGGCAGGTATTCTGTTAGTGGTTGTGGCTATAATCAGGTTTGTGAAAATTTATAAGAAAAATCATCTTTTAGTTATTAATTTTTATAGCAATAAAATAGAATATTTGTAAACGTACATCAATATGATTTTTTTTCTCTCAGGTACAGAAAGATTTGCAAACCTTTTGGAAAACAAATCAACAACAAAGCAACAAAAATAATTTGCGCTTTTGTTGTAGTATTGTCGATCGTATTCAGCGTACCATTTGCAGTCTTCTATGGCATTATTACTGCACACACTGGGCATAAGGGCATCTCTGGCTACAACTGTGGAGTATCTGACGCGTATGTCCTCTCACCCTGGCCAATGATTTTCCACGGGCTGATTATCCTGGTCTTCATTACCTGTTCTGTGACCCTCTCCACGCTCTACATTTTGATTGGTTTAGAGGCCAGACGACGCCGAATATCCCCAGGTGTGGTATCGATACAAACAAATAATCGGCTACAACATTTTAATCAAATTAAAGTAGAAATCACTCGACCTTCCGACGAGTCACATAGTGAATCAGATGAAGCAGTTGACCAGGATATGTCAAGAATGAATGACGTAAGTCATGATTGCAGCAACCACAGCATCGATATCACAAATGAAACAGAAACTGATGTAAGTGATACTAATGTATCTTTTGAAAACAACACAGCCGTTCCAACACTAGTGACCACTGCAGCTGTTCCTGCAATGACCACTACATCTGCCGCAACATTGACCGGTAATGCAAGCGAAGCATCAAGTTACAAAAACACTAGAATCAAGAAAACAAGACATCAAAAACCTGCAGGCAAAACAACTCGTATGCTAGTAGCAACCAGCGTCATCTACATCATCAGCAACATGAGTACCCTTTTCACAATTTTGATCTTTGTCGCCTTTAAGTTAACCGGTAAATTGTCGTTGGTGGAAGTTTCAATTGTAAACATTGCTTTTATTCTATATCTAGTCAACAGCTCAGGTAACCCATTTATTTACAGTATTTGTAATCCAAACTTTAGACGAGATTGTTTGGCTGTCTTTCGACGTATATTTAAAAAAAAACTAATGTTTTAGTTTTGTCTTAACTCACATTTTGTAAACAAATTCTAAGTTGCATTCATTGACCAATGAGGAAAAGAATATCAGTATATGTAGCATATAAATTTTATGTTAAATATGTATTTATTGATAAATATACTAGTTTGGATAAAAAAATATTCTTCGAAAAATAGTTATTGCTTGTTGAAGTAGTTAACCAACGAAAAAAAAAATGTGTTGATCATATGTAAATTTTCTTTAATAAGAGTAACCCCAACGTCGCTATTTCACTTTGAAATATAGCAGTTTTAGTACCAACCCTACAATCTTACATTCCTATTTTAGCTGTACTTTGATGAAATAGTTCTTTTAGTCATTGTTTTGTACATGTCATTTACGTTAACGTATTTTGTAGATTTACAAACATAACTTATTTGTAACAATGTCAAAAACATTATTTAAAAATTGCACGTAATTATATAACAGTCGATTACGGACCACATAGTTTGGCTCTAAAACCCAACTGATCCAATATTTAAATAAAGTAAATACACTTTCGAACCTAACGGTCCAATTGGCAGGTGAAGTAGAGTACCACTTTTTAAGTGGCCTCGGCATTTAATGTGATAGTGTTGCCAGCACTATGAGTAACCTACTTCTATGTTTAAAGTCAGGACATAAGAATGCGCTCCTTATTATGTGGCCCACACGTATGGCAAACATACAAACAAGAGCCTATGTTGTTTACGAAGCTTGCAGATTGTAAAGAAATAAAAAAAAATAATGAAATTCCGTACTACAAACAAATGTAGCTGACATCGTGGAAACGTGATAAGTGAATACAATATAAGCTGTTTCCTTACTAGCTTGTTGGGGTGCAGTGAGGTTGATTAGATATCAACATATAGAGATAAGGTTGATTAAATATCAACATATCGAGATAAGGTTGATTTAGTATCAGCATATAGAGATAAGGTTGCTTTAGCATCAACATATCCTGATAAGTTTGATTTAGTATCAGCATATCAAGATAAAGAAAGAAATAAAAATGCACCCCATTCAAAGTTTCAGCGCTATATATAGATCTACAACAGTGGACTATTTTAGGGGTTAAACAATATGCACAGGTTACATGACTTTGAATGGTGATGTATGTTAATTGGATGCGGCACGTCATTTGAATTATTGTACAGTTAGTGTGCTTGTTGTTATGTTAGTGTTGGTTTTATTGTACAGTTAGTGTACCTGTTGTTATATTAGCATTGGTTTTATTGGTTTTATTGTAAACATTGTCAGTCTAAAATGGACCAGAAAGTATTAAAATAAAATAAAAGAATAACTATTTGTTGTTGATCCCTACTGAACCATGAAAAATATTATATATATATATATATATATATATATATATATATATATATATATATATATATATATATATATACCGTTATGATAGCTCTACTATTAGAAACAGTCCAGGTTTTAAATGGACCATCCTTATTTCAATAATGACGCTCTTAAAGGATATATATCTAGTACTTGGTTTATAATAACTTTTACTAAACTATACTAATTCAAGAGCACAAACATATCTTGTCAGTTGTATGTTGAATGCACAAACTATGACGTCAATTCGCCATTGACGGATGTTTTTTTAAACAGAATAAGCTGACGTTGTGACCTTAGTTTCAAGGACGGGATGATTTTACTTATATCACTTGACTTAATTACTTTGCTTTCTCTTGTGTATTAATTAGTTTTTTTTACTCTAATGGACTTAATGAGTTTTATTCAGCTAATGAGATATTCATGGAGATATAGCTAATTGCCTGATCATTTATTGATGATTTATTTGGCCAAGCCACGTCCTTCAAACTACATTTGATTTATTTATACTAGGTGAGAACACATATAATGCTAGCACTTAAGTCCCAGTGAAGGCGAACACAGTAGGTTATCAGGGCAACACAAACCACAAGAATCGGTAGTTTACAATCGTCTGTAGCATCAACATTCTGTCAAAATATTCGTTGATTTACAAATATAATGTAGTGTATACAGACAAATATAGGATGAGGGGAAAGAGATGGAGGAACGGGGCGGGATAAAGAGAGAAATAGCGAGACGCGAGACAAAACCCACAGAAATACACAGCGTCAAAAATACCAGACATACTCAGCTCCCTATATATATATATATATATATATATATATATATATATATATATATATATATATATATATATATAATAAAATATATGGTTTTATGACAAATAATTGTAGGGCAAATTATCTCAGACTGAGTATTGTATTGTATTGTTATTTTAGTTCGTACAATTTATTTAAAAAGTTAATTTTGACACAAAGGTACAAAACCTTATATTCACAATATAATGGAGACGGTAACGAATCTTGTAGTACTTGAATGTACTAGACCAACACAAGCAACGGATGCTGACCTACGTGTATACCAAGGCACAAGGCTCTTGGGACACGGCCACCGGCGGAGGCCCCTAATGCAGCGAGACTGATGATTCAAGTAGTACACCTAACCCCTGTGCAGGATACCCAATAAACGGTCCTCTAAACTACACATTTTAAACAAATGTTAGGTCTATGGGTACTTAAAAACTTGCCAAATTTTACTGAAGTTGGGATGGTCTCAAATACTTTTCCTAAACCTTTTGTGAAACACTCAAGCGAGAGAATTCAAATTATACACGTTTACTGTCGTACTTTTTTGTAAAACAAAAAGAAGTAAACGTACATAAAACCGAAATAGTACAAAATAGTAGTTCTACCAATACAACAGACGAACATGTTATGTTATAAAATCACAATGGATTGTAGGTCCATAATCAATGCTATAAAGAAGCAAAAGTCGTCTTAATATCTCGCGCGATGGACTTAGATTTATTTTCAAACAAATTTTACGACAACAGCGTGTGTTAGATTGTAGGAGAAAGAGGACTCGGGATGGTGTCTATAGAATAAAGATAATCCAACCGCAGCTACAGTATTCTTTTTACAAAACAACCATCAAGTAAAAAATGCAAGAAAATTAAATATTTACCTATTAAAAAAAGATCGATTATGGTCGGCTGTGGGCCCCTAAACGTCGCCCCCTCCCCGTATCGCAGGGTCTGGCGGCACTGTAGTTCAGATCCTGACAGAGTCGACAATAAACCAACACGAAGTCCGTATACAATTAACTCCTTTAATTTCTGAAAGTACATGCGAGACCCAGGCTGTCAATTAGAGAATGGACCCCCAAACTTTCCTAACCCCACCTTTTATACCCTACCTAACCTCTAACTTTCCTGTGCTATATGTAAATTCCCTCTTAATCGTTCATATGCTACAGAATTGTGTGTACTATTTATTTACATTCTTTAATCTCAAGCAAACGTCTAAAATAGACTATAATTTGAAGGGTAACAAAAACATGTAGACGAAAAGGTATGCTACTCTATAGCTACGCGAATACTTATATTCTTATACTAGCCGTTCCGGCCAGGCTCTGCTCTGGCCTCTGTGAAAAACCTATCTGTAAAGGACCTTGACATTTATGTTTTGTAATCAGCATATATCCGGCATTGCCCACCCTAACCACAACCAACCAAAACACACAAAAATCGCAAACATAACACTAACACAAAACAAACACAAACGAAAACACAATAACAAACGCAAAGACAAACCCAACCACAAACACAAAGAAAACACAAACACTAACGCAAACAAAAAAGCAAACGAAAACACATCCAAACGCAAACACAAACCCAACCACAACCAAACAAAACCAAAACACACCAAAAAAACATCGCAAACATAACACAAAAACAAACACAAACACAAACATAAACACAAAGAAAACACAAACGCAAAAAAGCAAACGAAAACACAAACGCAAAGAAAAAAAGCAAACGAAAACAAACCCAAACCCAAATTCAAAAGCAAACACAACCACAAACGCAAACCCAAACTCAAACACAAAGAAAACACAAACGCGAAGATAAACTCAAAGTGTCAACAGTCTAGCCCGGGGCGCCAAATTGCACAATGACGACGTGCGGCGTAACCGCCTGATTCAACTTAGTAAACGACTATAGTACTCAACTTATTCATAGTCTTTTGAACTTACTTACGCGAACGTAGGTACCATAGCGAAAACGGGAAGGCCCGGGGCGCCAAATAGCACCCTATCGGGGTGCCGGAGGGCGCCCGGATTCGATTAACTTAAAGACTATAATAACCTTTCTTATCCATAGTCTATCGCACTGTTTAAAACGAAATTATGCAGCATAGCGCTCAGGTGATAGCACAGGGCGCCAAATCGAACAGTGCAGGTGCGCCGGCGGACGCGCCTATTTCAATTTAGTGAACAAAATTATATATTATAATACCGTAAATGGAAAGAAATAAACATATAGGACTTGTGGGACCTGGCTTGTTAAATGTTATTGATTTAAAAAAAATAATAATTAGTAAACAGTATGTTCCGTGTATAGAATAAATAAAAGGCAGTATTTTAATTACCAACGGCATTGCACTTAATCAATCCCCGCTAATTATGTAATTATTTTTTTTCCTAACTCCAAAACAAAGAAATAAAAATAAATTCTTTCTTCCCCCGATTTAATGGTTTTTTTTAAAGGGAAGTAACTGTGTTTTCCAAATCAAGGGACGTAATGAGAGCTAAAGGACAAAATGCAAATACATTTCAGACACAATTTTATAAATTTTATAAACGTTAATACACTTTTAAATTTTTTTATGTAATGTTCGTAATTGAAAATTATTGTTCTAAGTATATAAAATGAAAATTGTTTTGAACGACTTTCAATAATAATTTATTAACTCGTAAATTTAGACCATGAGCACTTTATTAATCTAACTCTTGAATCCATCGAGGTTTCGTTTTTTTCCGTTTTTTCTTATTTTCCTTTGTAATCCTCGATTACAAACATACAAACATACAGAATTGAGCTTTATGTATTAAATGTAACAATTCTAACAAACACGTAAAAGATTTATCTAATTATTTCACATATATAATGAAATACTCATCAAACATAATCCGCACAATAAAATATGTAATGAAAACGTTATCTTATATAGATAATTCAAACAATAGGCATCCAATATCATCATATTAAAAGTATCATATATTCACATACAGTGCCGGCGCCAGATTATTTAGCACCCTGGGCAAAACTTATTAACCCCCCCCCCGCATTTTTTTTTATCGAGCCCCATTATATATATATATATATATATATAAATATATATATATATATATATATATATATATATATATATATATATATATATATATATAATCAAATTATATTAAATTTACCGAAGCATTTCTGGATTAAAAGTGAGAAATTAATGCTGATCAGAGTAGTTATTAATGTTTCCAATTTGACTTTAGTAGATATTTATAGCTTATGTTAGAAGGTGAACAACAGCCATATTTATTTGCCTAACGCAATACCATCCCGTCAAGAGAGATAATCTAAACTAATTTAGAATTTTTAACGTAATATTTCATTATCCCCCATCTTCTATTACATTACGTCTCTTTCAATTCTTTTAGTAACTCAGTTTTAAAAGTTATTCCTAAATAAACTATTTTTCTTTAACATTTAAATCATCATTTTCTTAAAGCCTGAAAAATGATGATGTCTCCCCAATCTCAGTACATATTCTCGCCGTTACAGGTGACTTGACTACGTACCCCCTTAGGAGCAAAGATTCTGCAGCTTCATCGGACCCTGATTTGTTCCAGGTTTGCTTTGGTCGGCCTACATTTCTTTTACCATGGGGGTTCCAGTCTTAGGTCTACCACGTGAAGTTGTCCCGTTGTGGGAGATCGGGTCAGGTAGGGGAATCCTGGGAGTGAGAGAAGTTTGGTGGTTTTCCACCGGGCCGTTACGCTAAGCATGTAAGCTTGAGGCCATTGACTCCAATGTCAGCCTGCTTTTCCATAGACTTTGTCTAATCAAGAACAAACTACAAGGCAGCAGTTGTTTGATTTTGGAGTTGTCTCTTCTAGAAAAGTGTCCCCAGCTAACGAGTCTCCTCTGCCCGAGGGTTCGAACTCGAGACTTTTCGGTTTAGCAGCTATGAGCTTTACCAACTCGACCACGCCGACCCCTCTCAGATCGTTATTTAGACACGGGACTAGGACGGCTCTTGGGTAACTACCTGGGCTAACCACCCATCAGTGGATATATTGTGAGTAGAAAAACTAGAGATGAACACATTTTCATAACAAATCCCGCTCATGAAGATACCACCTCGATAGCGTGACGTTGGCTGGTGAAAGCCCGCGGGAATCAGCCAATCGATAACTTGTCGACGAAAAACTGGAAGAATTGACCAAATCATCAAACATATATTAAATGTATAATGTAGATGCCGGATCTGTGTGAAACTAGAAAGAATAGTTCCGGGTAAGCAAATGTAAATGTAAGTCTCAAAACAAAATAAGTTACAAAACGAGAAAGTAAACTTGTTATGGGAGACATAACGCCAACTCTGATGAGAACAATAAAAAACCTTATAAATGACAGGAGTGGACTTGGTGAATTAAATGCATTAGCAAACACAAAAAAACTTAAGTGTTGAAACACTTGCGCGGTACTCAGATAAGTGGTCTATTGTTTGATCGTTTATCTCGCATTTGATCCTTCTATTTATACAAACATCATGATGCAGTACATGTATGGTCAAAGAACATCATTTTATAACTAAATCATTGTTTCAAATAATTTGCTTTTAAAATAAGCATACAACAATGCTATTTTACAGTTCATACATAATGCACAAGGCTAAATTTCACAATAAAGTAAAAAAACAAACAACAATAAAAATGAAATGGCTATAATTTTACATCCGCCTAAAAGACAAGCGCGAATCACATCTCTGCTAATCGTTTGGATTTTTAATTTTTTTTTTGAGTGCTAAGATTGCAAACTTGTGTCTTAGTTTAATTGAAACTTGGACTCTATGGAGGTCTAGTAGACAGCGAATACGTTTTTGATTACTGTCTTTTTGTGTTTGATCCTTAATTCGAGAAGTGTAAGAATGAGCAGCGTTTAGTAAGATTTTGTTTTAGTCTTTGGTTGTTTGAAGTCAAATTTTAATCAGTAAGTCACACCAAGTACTTGCAGCTACTTATAAAAAGTCGAGGCTCTTATATCAGATATAACAACTGAAACAATGGCAAACCAACCAAATGCTTCATTCAATGTATCAGAAGCAGAATTATGGGAGTATCTGAACAGGCGCCGGTTTGACAACAACATTGCCAATATCCCATCATTTTTATTTATGGCTCTGGCTTTTGTCAGTGGAATCATCGGGAATTCCCTAATTCTAATTGTTTATTCACGGAAACGGAACAAAACACCAACTGTAATATTGATCCAGTTTATAGCTCTGATGGACACACTCACTAATCTTGTTTTGATTCCAGGTAAGATTTTTTTTTATAACAATTGTCGAAAGTCATTAACAGAAACACATGCTAGAATATTTATTTTAAAATTGTTTTCAACATTTTATAGGCAAATGATAGGCTAAAATAAGATGATTTTCTGTATTGTACTTATAACAAAAGTGTAGTGAAATATGTTGAATTATTAGTAGTAACTAAACTTCCCGTCATTCTTTGGACAACTGTGGGTTTCAGGGGTCGTCCATAAATGACATCACATCTTTCACTTATCCCCACAAAAAAAAAAAAACAACAACAAAAAAACACAACACAGACCCCACATTAAAAAAGGCGGTCACACCTCTGACATTTTTGTCTTTAAAAAACACCTATTTCGGCTGAGCATTGGTCTGACCACACTATCCCTTCATTGGCTGATGTCACAGGTGAACTCTTCACATCCCCAACTCTACTTTACCTGTCCAGTCTTTACCTTTCCAAGTCTCAGGCAACATCTTTTTATCGTTTTTGACACTAATTTCGGCCGAGCATGGTTATGACCATACTATCCCTGCATATGCTGAGGACACAGAAGCAGATGAACTCTACTTCACCTGCCCTGTGTCACGCGAGGTCCGGATAGGCAGCGTTATCATTCACGTTTAAAAAAGTATCATTGTCATGATGTATCTCGAACCCAAACCGCCCGCGTGGTAACCATTACACTATCATCTTAGCTATTTGGCACTTGTAATCTAATGCAGAATTACTTGTATTATGTACTGCAAAGTAAGAAACCAGTTACGCGAATAGCCCTATTATTTCAAATTAGCCAATTCCATTGCTAAACAAACAAAGATTTATATAAAATAATTAAGGCCAGAAGTAGTTTAGTATAGAAAATTTTTTATTGGCATACATAAATTCTAGACTTAGACAGAGCTAGATCTAGATTAGATTATACTGCTAGCTTAAGTCTTAAGTCTAGTTTTTTCTAGATCTAAATCTAGATCTAGAACCTAGCTAGCTAGATAAATCCCATGTTTTCTCAAATTAGATGACCATTGAAGCTAAAAAGCAAAGATTTATGTCAAGTATTTAAGGACAAACTTAGTTTATAAAGAAATGACGTTATCGATACTCTATAACAGGGGTCTCCAAACTACGGGCCCGCGAGGTCCTCTCATCCGGCCCGCGGAGATCTTTTTGTCCAAGGAAAAATCGTCTGTTGGTGATGGCTGAGGAACTTTGCCCAGAAAAATCAAAGACATGCCTGGAAGAAACTGGCCCCCGAACTGAAATTTGATGGGTAATGCGGCCCTCGGACTGAAAAGTTTGGAGACCCCTGCTCTATAATAAAAACACAGACATTACGGCCTAATTAATGTGTCTAAACTTTAACGTGTTTTCCGTGAAGAGTTTCTTTCATGCATCTCATCGGGTAGAGGTGAAGCCGACCTCCCCTCCCCCCTCAAAGAAATGACGTCATCGATAATCAATAATCAAAATACTGACATTACGGCCTAAATTATGTGTCTAATGTTATAAATGTTTTGCGTCAAGAATTTCTCTTCTGCCGGGGCAAAGCCCCTTTACTCCCCCACCCCCATGGTAGAACGTCTATTTCCTACCCCCCCCCCCCGACGGTAGAACGTCTAACCTCCCCCCCCCCCAAAAAAAAGGTGTAATATAATTTGGGACGGGACGAAGAGGTGTCTGGAAGAATCTCTGGTATAACTTGCATCCTCACAAATACCCATACAATGACACTGTTTTTTTTAATATTTGTTTTCATTACAGGTATAATTTATAAGAAAAGCCACACCTGGACGTTCACAAATGTCACCATTTGTAAGACGTACTTTTTCTTTCTCAGTGTAATATCGTGGACATCGGCAATTCTGTTGTTGGTTGTGGCCATAATTAGGTAAGTGAAGTGTTTCTTGATAATTTACAATTTAGCTCCATATTTAGTTGTTAAAAATGTTGTTTTAAGGGAAAATAGAAAATATCTATCTTTTTCTCAGATACAGGAAGATCTGCAAACCTTTTGGAAAACAAATCAACAACAAAGCAACACAAACAATTTGCGCCTTTGTTGTAGTATTGTCGATCGTAGTCAGCGTACCGTTTGTAATTTTCTATGGCATTACTACGGCAGACACTGGGCATAAGGGCATCACTGGCTACAACTGTGGAGTATCTGACGCGTATGTCCACTCACCCTGGCCCAAGATTTTCCACGGGCTGTTTATCCTGGTCTTCATTACCTGTTCTGTGGCCCTCTCGACGCTTTACATTCTGATTGGTATAGAAGCCAGACGACGCCGAATATCCCCAGGTGTGGTATCGATAGTAACAAATAATCGGCTACAACACATTGAGCAGATTAAAGTAGAAGTCACTCGACCTTCAGACGAGTCACGCAGTGAAGCAGAAGAAGTACTTGAGCAGGGTATGTCAAGAAAAAATGACGTAAGTCAGGATTGCAACAATTTTACCACCGATATTACGAATGAAACAGAAACTGATGTCAGTGACACAGATGTATCGTTTGAAAACAAGATAGCCGGTCCAACTCCAGTAATCACTATAGCTGTTCCTGCAACGACTACTACAGACGTGTCTTCAGGGACCATTACATCAAGTCACAAAAATACAAAAATCCAGCAAACAAAACACAAAAAACAGGAAGGCAAAACAACTCGTATGCTAGTAGCAACCAGCGTCACCTACATCATTTGCTACCTTAGTACCCTTGTTTCTCTGTTGATATGTGTCGCCTTTAATTTAACCGGTAAATTGTCGTTGGCAGAAGTTTCAATTTTAAACTTGTTCCTTGTTATGTTCTTGGTGAACAGCTCAGCTAATCCGTTTATTTACAGCATTTGTAATCAAAGCTTTAGACGTGAATGTTTATCTCTACTTAAGTATTTATTTGAAAGGTAAGATGCTATAAATGTGTCATTTTTTGCTGTCAGCAAAAACTTTTGAAAATATTGCTAACACTATGTTCTTTCATAGATAATCTCATTTCTCTGTAGCATATGTATCAAATGTATTTATACAGGAATGTTTTAATCATTGCTCCATATAGCTGTAGGCTGATGAAACTGTCAAGTTTTATTTCCTTTTCGTTGATTTAAGCTTACGCCCTTCTCAGCTTACGCCCTTCTAAAGTCTAAGTTTAATAGGATTTTACATTCAAGATTTCACCAGATTATATTATGTATTTCACATTAAATTGGCATGCGCATTGACAAATGTACTAAGAATATGTTAAACCATTGATAAAAAGTTCTTAAAGAGCATTTAACAACCATTAAAATATGGTCCATATTTTATAACAATTCAGCGGTTAATGATACATAATCCAGTTAAAACTGATGCACTTGTAGTCTGACGAAATTCACTAGACGTAACATATTCAAGTGTCACTGTGAACTTTATTGTGCTGCATATGTAAGGCAGACATACAAAATACATAAAATACGTTTTCAAAGCGGAGCAATCCACAAGGTGTATTGTCAGTAGCGTACGCAGGGGGGGGGGGGGGCGGGGAAGCAGGGGAGCGGCTCCCCTTCTGGCAATTTTCGGCAAAGTGGCGTCTATTTGGAAACTTTTTAAACTCAAAGTTTTAAACAACGAAATTCGCCAGTTTATTTTCGGTCTATACATCGATGAAAATCACAAGATTTCTTTCATGCAGCAATTAAGCATATAGAACTAAGCTGGTGTTAAATCATGTTACAATCGGCTTCTTATGTATTTTTGGATACGTTAGGGCCAAGTGTAACAATTGCTAATAAACACAATCCATAAAGAGAATCTGTATAGTTTACTGGTAATTTTCACCAACAACAAGAAACATGAACATAAGAAAGCGGACGAGTAGGTATACTGTTGACACCACACCACATTGCTTCACACACTGCTTTGTTCACACGCCTTTTTCCCCCCGCTAGCACACCACTTTCAAGGGGAGGCCACTCTCGAACACACTCTCTCCATGCCTACACAATTTCGTTATAGACATCTACGTCACAATCATAATACCATTTATAAAACGTCTATGTTTACAACAGGTATTAATAACAGCTCTATTGGTTTGCCATTTTAAAGATATCCATTACAATGCACTGGTATGTTTAAAAATCTCTACGGGTTGTAGCATTTGAAAAGTCCACTGTATAATGATTTTGCTTAAGAATAATTAAATAAGAAAATATTATACATAACTCAACTCAATTTAAATCGCTAATGATCGAATAAATAATTATACGCTCAGCTGTTGTTTTGTTTGAATAGGTTTCGAATAGTTGGTAATTATCAAAAGGTAATTGTCCCGTTTAAATTCTTTGGTGTATCAAACTAAATCTATTGCGACCAAGACAAGAGCGGCACAAATTCACTATTTAAGAGGGTATTAAATGGAAAGAAAACCAGTATAAGAGAAATATTCAGGGTGGGAGAGGAAGAAATTGAAAGACATTTCAGATCACCAATAAACATCATCCAAATGTGCCAAAACTAAGAAATATTTTTCAAGCTGCACGCCTTCAACATCGACAACAACACAACCAGAGGGCAAAGTGTCTGAATCTACCCAAGTACAAAATATACAAGCGACCACATCATCTGATTTGCAGAATCAAGCCGTCGAGACTCAAGACAAAAAGTTATTCTAAGATATTTTAAAAGACATCCCACTTAGAAGACGATATTGACAGAACAAGGCTAGTCAAATTAATTCTATAATTGATACAAATCCGAAACACCCTCCAGATTTTTTTTTTGAGGTACACCCTAACATTGGATCTAGTACTTGCATTACTTGAGTTTGTTCGGTGTCAACCAGGCCTCAAAGATGACTATACATTTTTTCCCCCCAAAAATGTTACTGGTACAAGAAAAAAACAACATACGAAATGTTTTTGGGAAATAATACGACACTGCCATGTATATATTCGCTTAAGGCAAATAATATGATTTGTTTTGCATGTTGGCTTTTTAAACACAAGCCAGACACTTGGGGCGATCCTAAATTGGATTGTAGGAAAATCCCTATAAAATTTAGAAACACGGAAACTCCAAAAAGACAAGATTGCAGGGAAATAATATTTTCTTAAAAAATTTCAATTGTTTCAAGACAGAAACATAATATGTGACATTTTAACAGCAGAAAAGAAGGAAAAAGAAAAAAGCAGAATAATACTTGAATATATATATATATATATATATATATATATATATATATATATATATATATATATATATATATATATATATATATGGTTCTATGATAAATGATAGCTGTTTTTTCTTTATATACGGTATATAAAAAAGTCGATTGCGGATTGACGCTATTCATTCGATCGCCATCTAACTTTGGGGAGTTGATTAGAACACTTCGGGGGAGGTTTCTTTAAAAAAACTTTTTAAATTTCGCAAGGGTGGAGCCCCGGGATGGTGTGATTTTTCTCTATATACGGTATATTAAAGAAATGAAAGTCGGATGCTTTTCGTCACCGTTTATCCGAGTGCTATAAAACTTTGTGGAGTTGATGAGAATACTCCCGAGAAGGTTTCTGTGAACAAAATTATTAAAATTTGACATGGGCAGTGCCGGGGAGTTTGCGATTTTCGTCAATACACAATTTGGCGCCCAGAGTTCCAGAGCGGGTATGTTAGCACTTGGCATCCGTTAATCGCGCGTCCTACAAAACGGGTAAGGGGTACTACCATATTAAAAACTTAACAGGCGCAACCGCCGGCGCTCCGTGGATTTCACGCCCCGAAGCGTCCCGGACTCCCCCTGCGAACACCATGGCGCTTATGTTCGTTAAAAAAAGGCTATACACTAAAGACAGGACGGGTAACAATAATCGTTGACAATATTGAACCAGGAGCGTTTCCGATGCCCCTGCATGGTTAGATTTGGCGCCATGGACTTTCCCGTGAGCGCAAAGGCTCCTACGTTCGTTCTAAACAGTGCAGTAGACACTGGATAAGATGGGGTGTTACAGGCGCTCAAAAAATTGAATAAGGCGTGTTCGCCGGCGCCCTGGTAGGTTGCAATTCGGCTGCGAACAAAAATGATGCAACTAGCATCTATTTGTAGACCATCCAATTAGAAATTGAGATCGAACATCTAATAATACACCATCAGAAACGCTAACCATTGGCATCAGTCACACTGATGTTCAAAACAAATCAAATATTTTTCTTTCTAAGTGTCAGAGAAAAATCCTGTTGATTCTTTTCACTTTAGCGAATGACGCACTCTGCATCATTGTTTCAGGATGCTATGTGTCGCTCTGGATTATCATGGGCGTTTACGTCAGTTTTAAACAGCGGCGCCCCTGCGGTAGTGTAACCGGGGTCTCTCGAGAGCGCCCCTCTACGTCCCTGAAACCTGGACGGTCACTGAATTTTGTTCTACCTCACTATTGCCGTGAGTGATTAACTTAAACTCAAGGATTTTATGCTGTAAACCCATGCCAGGATTTTTTTTTTTACAGATATTGTTTACATTTAAATTTAAACTCAGTTTTAGAAAAGAAGGCCACACGTCTAAATATACAGGATTGGTAACGCATTGATGAAACGCTTCTCTTCTTATTTATTTCGTCAGACTTTCTTCTATCCCCGCGGCAACGCGCGGGACTGTCACACTAATATATATATATATATATATATATATATATATATATATATATATATATATATATATATATATATATATATATATATATATATATATATATATATATATATATATATATACATATATTAGAGAGAGAGAGAGTGAGAGAGATAGAGATATATATATAAATACATTAATAGATAAATATATTCGGTAATGTCCGCTCTACTATTAAAAACAGTCGGGACTTTATTGTATATATTAAAATTTAGATAATATTGATAAGACGTTTGGTGTTGTATAAATCTTCTATTTTTTTGGTGATAGATTGGAACATCGTAGTGGTATTAAAAGATCTAAACAGAGCATTAGGTAATTTAATAATACAAATAAACAAATACTATATTATTTTGATCTGAGCCAAATATTAAATGAACCATCCTCAATTCAATGTAGACGCTTTTAATGGCAACAATACTAATTTGAGATGAACAAACACATCTTGTCAGCTGCATGTTGAATGCGGAAACTATGACGTCAATTCGCCATGGACGGATGTTTTTTAAACAAGATAAGCTGACGTCGTGACGTAATTTTCAAGGACAAGGTGATTTAATTGTGTGTATTAATTAGTTGTTTTACTCTAATGGACTTAATGAGTTTCATTCAGCTAATAAGAAATTCATGGCTAATTGCCTGGTGATTTATTGATGATTTATTTGGCCAAGCCACGTCCTTTAAACTACATATTATTTAGTTATACTTGGTGAGAACACATTTAATGCTAGCACCTATGTCCTAGTGAAGGCGAATACAGTAGGTTAACAGGGCAACACAAACCACAAGAATCGGTAGTTTACAATCGTCTGTAGCATCAACATTCTGTCAAAATATTCGTTGATTTACAAATATAGTGTGGTGTATACAGTGAAGGGAAAGAGATGCAGAGATGGGACGGGATTAAGAGAGAAATAGCGAGACGCGAGACAAAACCCACAGAAATACACAGCGTCAAAAATACCAGACATACTCATAAGGGATCCTGAAGTACTTGAATGTACTAGATCAACGTAAGCAACGGATGCTGACCTACTTGCGTATACCAGGCCGCAGTCCTATGTTTAAGAAGGGTCATCTATAACCAGTGGCGGAGCCAGGAATTGGTCAGGGTAGGGGTTCAAAAATGTTTAAATACGTATATAATCATATATATATATATATATATATATATATATATATATATATATATATATATATATTTATGGGAGGGTCCATGGGAGGTGTTATAACCCCCCTTTGCCACTGCCTATAACGTCCAGTGGGGGGGGGGGGAAGGTTGTCTGAAGAAATTGTGATGATAGAGTGGCCTTGAGAGAGGGGATGTTTAGGTCAGTGTGGAGGTCCACATCATTAAACATCTATTCGCTAATGTTGTAACACACGTAAGAGATTTACCCCCACCTCCCAAAAAACATTTTAATGATAGTGTCCAGCAGTGCTCCATCTTACCTCTGTGGTCAGCGAGTGATGAAGGAATCTGATAGAGAGGTCATGAACTCGATGTGCTCCTTATAATTGTTATAATTCTGCAGAAATAGGTTTTGAAATGATTTTTAAAATAACAAGTTATAAACCATAATTTAGTATTTCTTTGGAATTAAACTATGTAAATCATTTACAATAAAACACGAGAGGGTTATTATTACGATTAGCTATTCGTTTGATACCTTGACTCGTCTGGTTACTGCTAACAGTATGGCAGACCCTTGAGTGGAACGTCCATGAGTAGTTGAGTAGAAGCATGTGTTTATTCTTTCTTCTTTTTTATTGTCTCAGACATGTAATTTATAGCGTCAGTTTGCCTTGCATATTCTTTTTAGTTTTACAGTTTTCATCATCGGCTTGTGAGGACTGATACATTTTTACAATAGTAATACTTCTTTCTTACGTGTAGCCTTCTTTCATTAATTTAAGATGGTTTACTTATACATAGATCTAATACAAAACGTCTAATTACAATTTTATTTTAAAAGAAAAAACACCCGAAATTGCAAATGAGTAATTAAATGATAATTCAGTGGTTTTTTATTCCATCGGCGTGGTGGTCTGAGGGGATTTTGGTTTTTAAGTAAAGCTGAAATAGATTTTGAGTAGAATGTTTTTATTTTTATTTTTATTTATTTTTGAATACTTTTATTTGCATTAAAACAATGTACAACATATTTAACAGTAACAAGAGGTAGGTAAATAATAATTTACATCATAGTAAATATGTGATGGTTGATATATACAAAAAAAAAACAAAATTAACAAAAGAGGAACCAAAGGGCGAATAATTATGGGGTTAAGTATAAGAAAGTAAAAATTACAAGGGTTCTGAAGCTAGCTAAAAATATGTAGTTGTTTATGATGTGAACATACTTTTTTATTTTTTTTTTGTAAGTAAAATATCTCATTTCTACAGGTAAATTTATTTAAATTATTTAAATACAGTTTGGTAACATTTTGATAAAATACAAAATAAATGAAAATACATACATTTTTTTAAAAAGTTACTAAAACGATAAAAAGCCAATAGACACCAGCGAAAAAAGTCTCAAAGGTAATTGAGAGGTGCATAAATTAATTTAAAAATCTTGCACGGCGTAGTTACAATTAAAATGGTTATAAAATCCTGTCTGTCTGGTTTTTTTCGGACTTTACTAAAGATTGGATGTATTTGATGTTTTTAATATTTTCGGTAACTTAAAAAAAAAATTAAAAAAAAAAAAGCAAAAACAATTTGATTTTCACGTGTAATGGCGACATAAACAATGGCCGCCATAAATTTTATTGTACACATTGTAAGCTAAAAATAGAAAAAATAGGTCATGGTGTTTAATTTTGCATAGTTATTTAAAAACTTGATCTGCAAAGTTTTGTAAACAAAATAACTATGAAGTGGGGCTGTCAGAAATCGATCACGGAGTTCCTTTACAGCCAATCAATGTTTGTCTTACGAAAGTGAAACATCGGGTTATAACTTAGGCTTGATGAAAATAAATAGAAATGTAGCCTTAAACTCAACAAATTATTTTCAAGTTCTCTGGATCTGCAACTTGTATAGCATTGATTCTAAAAATATTAAATTTCTGAATTAATTTTAGGCTTAAGTTTTTAATAAAATTTTATCATTTATTATTTTTAAGGTCCTAAATCTAAAAAAGCACATTTTTATTCCATGTCAACAACATTACGGAAGGAATCTCGTCAACTCGCGGGTGTCCATTAAGTATCTTAAGAACAGCAATATACATATATATGCCTCAATAAAAACAGTTTATAATATACATATAAATTATAACATAAATATAACTAACACTAAGAGAAAAAGAGGCGTTGATTTGTAAATTCTTTATCACTGGTTTTTATAGCAGCCTGAGGTTTTAAACTGCTGCACTGTTTGCCCAACAACTGATTCAGTGATATGAAATAATATAAATGTATGGTTTTCATCTGCGGCAGGGGTGTCAATTATTTAACTAACAGTGTTGAAGGTTTCAAGTAAATACATATAAAATTTTTTTTTTTTTTTTTGTTTTGTTTTGGTAGCTGAAAATAATGTATTTTGCGAAATAACAGATAATTATAATAATAAAATATCTATTATGAAGTCTACAATTTATAGATATAATATAGTTAACAGTTTTCAATTCAAAATTGATTTAATATAATTATTATTTCTTGAATAAAATATAGGTAAAAATATATATCATACTCAAATTTAAAATTATATATTTAATGGAATAATAAGCAATGATTTCAGTCTTTATTTTATTATTATGCAGTTTCTCTGTAATTATAACGACGTTAGTGAACTTTGTAATTGGTTGTTTCCCTTAACTAATAAAAAACCCCATCATATTCCTAATATACCAAATGGATTTTGTTATCGACAAACTTAATATAATCTGTAAGATTGGTTGAAAGTATAAACATCTAGTTCATAGTTCGATTCAATTCCATCAGCTTTTAAAAAAAAAAAATCAATTATTTTGTGGTCATTGAATTGATTTATTGAAAACTCTCAAGTTTTCCAAACACCGAAGTAACAAAAACAAACAAGTCCAACAACAAAAACAAACTGTAAATCTAATTAGACACTGTATTAGAAAAAAGCTGATCTTTCAGTTTATAAACATGTAAACAGTGTCCACATACTCCCGAGAAAAGATGCCTGAAAGAAACCTTTTTTCAGAAAATGGATAACTACACGGATAGAAGATCTCAAAAAGCACTTAAGTCATAGAGTGACTGAGTTTGTGGTCATAATGGTGATAGGATTTGAAATAGTTAAGAGTTAACTTTTCTTAAAAACGACTTGCTACTTAAGTATCGCAAAACTTAAATAATTGTTGGCATAAGCTGGCCAGCTCTATCCGTTTTATAAAATACAGTCTCACAGCATCATATTAGCGTTAGGATGAACAAATATCCACTGGTAAGGTCTTACACTGCAAGTCAGAGGCTCTTTGTGGTTTTCTCTATCCTGGCTTTTCTGTATACTGGAAAAAAGTCATAGATATGTAATTCAACAACATAAAACGAGCAGAGAGCAGGTTAAACTCGACAATGTGTCCGTAGAACCAAACTGGTACTATTTGGATCTACTATTAGAATCGTTTTCTAATTATTTTGTCTTAATTACTGTGCTCTTCTTTTTTGATAATTTAAGTCATTAAAAAATATTAAATCTCTAACATTGCTAAAAACAGTTATTTTTTTGCCAGCCTAGGTTATATGAGGCAAGTCATTTAACAAATCTTAAATCTCTAACATTGGTAAAAAAAAGTTATTTTTATCCAGCACACGTATACACAAGCCAGGCTTTAAGCAACGAGATCTGTATAACGGGATCTGCCTCTCTTGTTTAACATAGTATATGTGTGAAAAAGTAGCAGTGCTAGGAATATTGTGATATAGAACTTCAGGATTAACTTTATATATATATCTGTAATATAAGCGGGCTGTGTCTGTCCTATATATTTTGGGATTATAAAAGTAAACTACGCACCATGCTGTGCTTTTCAGTGCACCGCAGTGTCTTATTATAAGTTAAAGAGTTGGGTTTGTTTATATAACGACATAGAGCTATTTTATAATTTCCACTGTTTGTACAATTTTGCATAACGTAAAGAGAATATTAAATACACGCACATTGCTAAAACATATTAAAAAAATCAATGTCAAATATTGTTTTCGTTAATATTCCTAGAAAAAGTGGATACATTTTAATAACATAATAACTGTAGGTTAGAAAAATCTAATTAAACTGTTTAGTAATTTTGCCAAGGGAGGTATTTTAAAAATAAACTGAACTCACGCTAAAAATGTGAATGCAGAATCTGCAAGATGGAATAATTGCTGGAATAATATAATTAGCAAAATGTGAATGCAAATTATGCAGACGTGTAAGAGTACATTATTGTTGGAATATTATAATTAGCATTGATTGATAAAAGGCTATCTTTTATTTATTTTATTCACTGAATGTAATGTTTACTACTTATAATTTTTAATCAACTATAAAGCACTATTATAGACGCGTCATCACGTTCATTGGGTGCGCAATGGTTTTAGTTATGAAACTCTATTGTAAATTTTTAAAATTTAATGTACTGGGGAAAAAAATGCGTGAATTGATAAAGTGATATGATAGGTAAAACACGGATATTTTAAATACTGCTGGGGGTTTTATAGGAGAGGCGTAGAGGGGGGGGGGGATATGTCCACGGTTGCCGACCTAAGGGGGCGCCAAAGTGGGTTGGAAATAAATTGCGTGGGGGGGTGGAAATCGAAAGTTTGAGGGCGGTGAGAGGGTGCAAATCGAAAGTTTGAGGGGGGTGCAAATCAACAGTTTGAGCGGGGGGGAATTTCAAATCAAAAGTTGTGCAAATCGAAAGTCTGAACGAGGGGGGGGGGGGTGAAAATCGAAAGTTTAAGGGGGTGGGGTGGAAATTGAAATTTTAAGGAGAGGGGGTGCAAATCGTAAGTTTGAGGGGGGGGGGAGTCTAATCGAAAGTTTTATAGTCATTCACTGTGTCAGACGCCTTCGGCGGCGCTCGGAAAGGGCGCGATTTGGCGCTCTGGGCTATGCCTTTATGATTGCATTTAAATTGTGTTTATGTTATGAGTGTTATGTTTGTTTTTTCGTTTGTTTTTTTTGCGTTCGTTTGTGTTTTGTTTAGTTTTGTTCTGTTCCCAAGTTGGTACATTTAAAAAAGATTTACCGTGGCGGAGCACGGGATGCAGCTAGTATATATATATATATATATATATATATATATATATATATACATATATATATATATATATATATATATATATATATATATATATATATATATATATATATATATAAACAACCGATGGACAAGTGACGACTAGTGGTAATTGAATGTTTTATATAACAAATAGACAGATACTCTTTAAAAGTCAGTAAAAATAGAAACCATATTATATTTTTGTTTTCTGGATTGGTAAAAAAAAAATTATTTGGTTGTACCAGCAATATTTTCTACACATTTTACAACCAAGAATTTTATTTTTACCCTTATAGCTGTAAAAGATATATTTTTATTTTCTTATTTTAATGCTTTTAAAAAAGTTACAGAAAGTTTTTATACTTGTTTTATTTTAGAATTTTTAGAATTTAGATATTATAAGCGACGGATTTGCAAAAGCAAAATATTGTTAAATATTAAGTATGTAATATTTAAATATATTTTTAAAGATTAGTATGCATATTTGTCACTCTAGCGTTGTCATCGGATATGAAATTATATGAAAAGTTTGAAAGAAATTATTGCAGTAGAAATGGGCTGAAATTGAATAAAAAGATTCACCACAACTTACCCACCAACCCACACAGACATCCGGATGTTGTGACCTAATAAAATTTTATAAAAAAATACAACCGGATTTGTAATAGGAGAAAAATTCTGCGTTAAAATAGAAAGCAATGACATCCTGCATTACAGGAATCCAACCAAAGCCAACGACTTGTTTGTTTCTATTTCACTTTATGTTGTTGGCTTCACGCAATCCTACTCCATCCGCTTACAGCTCTGATCTATCAAAAACATTATCTAAACATAGTTTTTTGCAGGCCATATTGCCATTATTTGAAAAGGTTTCATAAATAACATTTCAAACTTTTCGTTGACATGGCAAATGTTACAGAAGTTAACATATCCGTGTCTGACGAAGACAAATGGGCGTATCTCTACCGGATCCAGGCTGAGTACAATGTTGAAAACACACCGACATTTTTATTTCTGGCACTGATCGGCGTCTCTGGAATCTTCGGGAATTCCTTAATTCTCATCGTCTACTCTCGCAAAAGGAACAAGAACCCAACCGTCATTCTGATACAGTGCATTGCAGCCTTGGACTCATTTACAAATCTGGTTATAATTCCAGGTAAGATTAATTTTAAAAATTAGTTTATGACTGTAAGTATCGATTTCATTAGAATTGTTATGATAAACTGACATCAACATAGTTAGTTCTGTGTCAGGGGTATCTAGAGTGGTCTTACCCTGTGTTGTACACGGCGTATGTTTCCATGGTTACCAGTAGTTGATACCTTTTACAGACTGGATCTCAGGAGACGTGTAATCGTTGGTTTAAAATTAATCCCAAATTCTATTATCTTTAGCAAGTGTAAAGACATTTGCTAAAGATGAATGACTATTTTAAAAGGAATGAAAATTTTCTCTCCTACATGTCAAGTTCTTACCAAACTTATTGCGATTTTTTTACTCAATGAAAGTGTGTTTTCATTTACAAGTTTAATGGGTTTTTCTACCAACCTTTTTTTTTCTAAACCTTTTTAAAAATATTGGAAAAACGTTTCCAACATTATACGTTGGTTTCTTCTTCTCAATCCGGTTCGTGCCCAAGACACATGGGGCAGATGAGGTAGAGTTCATCTGATTCATTGACCTCGGCATGTAAAGGGATACTATGGTCAACACTATGCCCAGCCTCCTTTTTTTCCCTAATGTAAGTTAGGTACCCAGAGTTGAGCGGACTCAGGGATGTTAGCAGTCTAGCTCTCTACCGCTAGGCCACGCCGTCTCCATATGTTAGCTATTAAATTAAACGAGCCGACCCGCGGCATATCATACGCCGCTATTTAGTTGTTGTTTTTCTACTTTTCAGTAATTCAAAATTTGTGAATTTGACAGTACCAACGCTGCCACTGAAAATATTTCTTTAAAACACTATAAGTAGCTTGTTAAGGACGATAACCCCCCCCCCCCCCCCCTCCTCCCCCCTCTCCGTTACAGTAAACTCCACTTAGTTACCCCCCCCCACACCCCCCCCCCCCTTACGTTTAAAATCGTTTCAAACTAAATTATCTGCCCCTAATAGTCGTCACTAAACCCGGCTCTGCTTGTAAACGTTTAGAGTGAAACACAGCTCACCAGACCAGAAGAGAATTATATACATAGATTGTGATTGTGCACTTAAAATTTGTGAGTTTTATTTATTGATAAAACAATTGTCGTCATAATGGTAGTCTTGTACATGTAGTTTAGTCTTGGTTCCTCTGTTGATCAGTGCTGGTGTAATTATAAGTTACCGCCTGAGCAGACGAGGAACATTAGCTGGGGACAGCAGACCATCTAGGAGAGTAAACTTCGAAATCAAACAACTGCTGCCTTGTGGTTAGTTCTTGGGTGGACAAAGGCTGTGGAAGCAAAGCAAAACAGAAAACCTGACTGACGTCGGAGTCGACAGAATCTATGGTGCAAACAATGTTAACATACATTACATTATTATGTTTGGGGGAACTTCTCCAATGTTGCAATTAAGAAAGAAGAAGAAAATAAGGTAACAAAAGGCATTGTCTGTTAGGATTGCTGCGACCCAAAGATTGATGCGCCTTACATTAGACACCTGCACTTACGTCATCAACAGGTACGATGTACACACTCGCACACACCTGGACGTACAGAAACGTCACGATCTGCAAGCTGTATTATTTTGTCAACACAGCTGTCTCTTGGACCTCCGCGTTACTGTTGGTGGTGGTGGCTATTATTAGGTTAGTGGAGCATGACGATTTTTGTTTAGCAACTTTTTACACGCACATGATCTGACAAAAATATAAATCAGCTGCAGAAATGAAGAGTTGGTCAGTTGGACGGTCAGAGAGTAGAGAGTTGGTCAGCTGGACGGTCAGAGAGTAGAGAGTTGGTCAGTTGGACGGTCTGAGAGTAGCGAGTTGGTCAGTTGGACGGTCAGAGAGTAGAGAGTTGGTCAGTTGGACGGTCAGAGAATAGAGAGTTGGTCAGTTGGACGGTCAGAGAGTAGAGAGTTGGTCAGTTGGACGGTCAGAGAGTAGAGAGTTGGTCAGCTGGACGGTCAGAGTGTAGAGAGTTGGTCAGTTGGACGGTCAGAGAGTAGAGAGTCGGTCAGTTGGACGGTCAGAGAGTAGAGAGTTGGTCAGTTGGACGGTCTGAGAGTAGAGAGTTGGTCAGTTGGACGGTCAGAGAGTAGAGAGTTGGTCAGTTGGACGGTCAGAGAGTAGAGAGTTGGTCAGTTGGACGGTCAGAGAGTAGAGAGTTGGTCAGTTGGACGGTCAGAGAGTAGAGAGTTGGTCAGTTGGACGGTCAGAGAGTAGAGAGTTGGTCAGTTGGACGGTCAGAGAGTAGAGAGTTGGTCAGCTGGACGGTCAGAGTGTAGAGAGTTGGTCAGTTGGACGGTCAGAGAGTAGAGAGTCGGTCAGTTGGACGGTCAGAGAGTAGAGAGTTGGTCAGTTGGACGGTCAGAGAGTAGAGAGTTGGTCAGTTGGACGGTCAGAGAGTAGAGAGTCGGTCAGTTGGACGGTCAGAGAGTAGAGAGTTGGTCAGTTGGACGGTCAGAGAGTAGAGAGTTGGTCTGTTGGACGGTCAGAGAGTAGAGAGTCGGTCAGTTGGACGGTCAGAGAGTAGAGAGTTGGTCAGTTGGACGGTTAGAGAGTAGAGAGTCGGTCAGTTGGACGGTCAGAGAATAGAGAGTTGGTCAGTTGGACGGTCGGTGAAAATATAATCAGCTGGACGATCTGCGGGGGCGTCTCCTAACCCCTATGTATAAGCCTGTCATCTAAATTCTAGAACTTGATCCAATCATACTCTTCACAATTCAAAGAATTATCACTGTTTTTTTTTACTTGTTGCATATACTATATAGTCATAAAGAATGGTAATGTTAAAGGTAAGATTGTATCAATCTGTTAATTAGTTCACCTAAACACTCAAGTTTTCAAATAAATTAAAACTGCCAAAATAAAATAACAATTCTTTATCAATACCACCAATTACAAACAAAACATATAACCTTTGTTAAAACATGTCCTAGCCCCTATGCACTGGAACAAGTTAAGATTGATTATGATAGTTAAATAAAGCGGGAATGATCTCCCCAAGACTTTCTCGAATCTTCTCATATAACACTAGAGGGGATGGCAACTCAGGATATAGACATAATTTTTAATCCATTTTTAATTATTTAAAATTTAAAAAAATAGAATAGAATCTCGTAGATAAAGAATTGCGCACCAAGAGAACGGCAAACAAAATATGTATACTAGTGCGGAGTATTATTAGTACTATGTAAATTCATATACATTTTTTGAGAATTCGAAAATAGCGTAAATTACTACTTCCTGCCAACAGAAATTTCTCAAAATTTAACAATAGGCAGATAATTAGATCTTTTACTTATATGGAAATTTCGTCTACTTATCTGAAACAATAATCAAGTTATAGGCTTTTGAAATAAAAACAAAAGTAGAATGAGTTCCACTTCCGGTTACCGGAAATAGCTGAAAAGTTGATACAGAAGTACAAATTTGATAAAATACTTATATATACAATTTCATCAACCTAGCTGTAACGGTACTCAGGTTATGGGGTTGATAGATACACACACACATACATACACACATACATACACACACAGACACGGACAGAATTGCAGAGTCCAGTTTTTCCGACTCGATTACGCATAAAACGCTGAAATTTTGACGAAGCAGCATTTATTGTTTTTGTCCGATTAAAATAAGTCCACTATACTCCATATAAATATGATGAAGTATTGAGGTATAACATAATGAACACTGTCAACATTTTATGTGATTTTTTTGTGCACGATTACTATGCTCTGTATACGAGAAAGTAAAACAAGCTTATCTTACCGTATACCCACTACAATACATTTAATTGAGTACTTCTCTTTAGATACAGAAAGATCTACTAATTAATATAACAATACAAAATCCATAAAAGCAAGCTATAACACTGTTTATACTAAACCACCTAGCTACTTCGCTTTACTTAACGTGAACTATATTGGTTAAGAAACATTTTAACTTTTTTTCCTCAGATACCGACAGATCTGCAAACCTTTTGGAAGACAGATCAACAACAAAAAGGCGAAAATAATATGCGTCCTGGTGGTTTGCTTGTCGGCCATCTTGTGCATACCGGTGGGAATTATCTACGGACAGGTGCGAGAGGACACGGAGCTTGAGGCAATCGTTGGATACAACTGTGGCGTGGCTGACCAACACGCCAACACCGTCTGGCCGATGGTGTTTCATGGCTTGTACATCGTGATTTTTCTGTCTTGCTGCATCACGCTGTCGACGTTGTATGTTTTAATCGGGGTGAAAGCAAAGCGGCGAAAAGTTTCACACATTGTGGTATTACCGAAACGGCCGCACATGTTTCCAGATTTAAGAAAAGCTGTAGTTGAGCCTTCAGGTATGATTGGGCCTGACAGGATTACAGATGATACGTGTACAAATATGTCGGATAGTAGTGAAGCTAGTCATGACCAAACTGAGTTGAGTACAAACAACAGCTATGGGGCGGACACTGAATCCAGTGGCCTAGAGCTATCACCGACTAATATTGCCGTGCCTGCGGTGACCGCTACAGCTGTTCCTACACTGACCACTACAGCTGTTCCTACACTGACCACTACAGCTGTTCCTACACTGACCACTACAGCTGTTCCTACACTGACCACTACAGCTGTTCCTACACTGACCACTACAGCTGTTCATACACTGACCACTGTTCCTACACTGACCACTACAGCTGTTCCTACACTGACCACTACAGTGACCACTACAGCAGTTCCTACACTGACCACTGTTCCTACACTGACCACTGTTCCTACACTGACCACTGTTCCTACACTGATCACTACAGCTGTTCCTACACTGACCACTACAGCTGTTCCTACACTGACCACTACAGCTGTTCCTACACTGACCACTACAGAAGTTCCTACACTGACCACTACAGAAGTTCCTACACTGACCACTACAGCTGTTCCTACACTGACCACTACAGCTATTCCTACAATGACCACTACAGCTGTTCCTACACTGACCACTACAGCTGTTCCTACACCTACCACTACAGCTGTTCCTACACCTACCACTACAGCTGTTCCTACACTGATCACTACAGCTGTTCCTACACTGACCACTACAGCTATTCCTACACTGACCACTACAGCTGTTCCTACACTGACCACTACAGCTATTCCTACACTGACCACTTCAGCTATTCCTACAATGACCACTGTTCCTACACTGACCACTACAGCTGTTCCTACACTGACCACTACAGCTGTTCCTACAATGACCACTACAGCTGTTCCTACACTGACCACTACAGCTGTTCCTACACTGACCACTACAGCTGTTCCTACACTGACCACTACAGCTATTCCTACACTGACCACTACAGCTATTCCTACAATGACCACTGTTACTACACTGACCACTACAGCTGTTCCTACACTGACCACTACAGCTATTCCTACAATGACCACTGTTACTACATCTAAACAAGCCTTAAGATGTGACAACAATTTTCACGTAAAGAGATCGAGAACTTCAAGAAATTCTGGAAAAACCACCCGCATGCTACTAGCAACCAGCATCATCTACATCACCAGCTACCTCACAACAATTATTTTAATTTTTACACAAGTTTTCTACAAATTATCAGGAGAGTTATTCAACGTGGATTACTCCGTATTTAACTTTTTCCTCGCTATGTATTTAATCAACAGCGCTGCTAATCCTTTTATATACAGCATCTGTAATCAGAACTTTAGGCACGATTGTGTAGCCGTTGTCAAGAGTTTAATTAGACGACGGCAGCGTCTTTAAGCTAAGATAAAAAAAACCCCAACCTGTGAACAAAAAAATATCTTCTCTTTCAAAAGTGTAAACTAAAAAAATATATTAACTGCAAATTTAGCGTTGTCATTTGTTTTTGTCAGGGTGTGTGGTTTTTTTTTGGGGAGGGGGGAGGGGGGGTTGAGGAAAGAGGTTTAGCAGTTGATCCGATTCAAATATGACTCGTGTGTGTGTGTGTGTCGAGGAGGGGGGGGGGGGGTTTAAAAAGTAAATTTTTTTGTGCATGTAATAAATGGATGACCCCCTTTATGACGTTTAAAAAAACAATGCGCTCATGTTATAATAAAGTTCATAAATTACTAAACAATAAAACCCGGACATCGCAATAGCACCATAGAACTGGAAGACACACCAATGTGAGAACACGAATCTACTAGGCCTATGTACCAACACTAAGCACAAAAATGTATTTGGCATATTATTTACAGGTACACGTAGATGCAACAACAAACTGAACATTCCAGACATTTTTATCACGCAAGCAGAAGTAGAAGCTTCTTATTACGTCAACTCTTATCCCCACTCACCCCTCCTCACTTGACAGCTAAAGCTCTTTTGTCAATAAAACATTATAATAAACAATAGCGGGCATTGTGTCGATTACACATGAATCATCACAATGATTACATTTATTGTTTGAAAACTGGGAAGTGACAAATTCCTACAAGGAACATTTTTGTCATAATTCATTTTCATCTACGGTTCATAAATTGATTGAATGTAACTAATGTTTCAATAACATTGATGGTACCCAGTTTTTAACTGTTGTGATTGATTGTACCCTACCTTTAATAGCTGTGATTGATTGTACCCCACCTTTAATAGCTATGATTGATTGTACCCCCCTTTAATAGCTGTGATTGATTGTACCCATTATTAACGGCTGTTATTGATTGTACCCAGTTTTTGAAGGCTGAGATTAATTGTACCCAACTTTCACTGCATTGATTAATTGTGCGTAGCTTTAACGAAACCTGCCCGTCATTGCACTGCAGTCTTGCCGTGTACCCCGTTACTACCGCAGTAACTGAACATGCAGATTGTCTGTCAGATAAAAAACTAGGAGATTATTTTCACGGATCTATGTCATTGTTGATATTTCAAAAATTTAAGGAGGGGTTGGGGAATGTGTGTGTGTATGCGTGTGTGTGTGTGTGTGTGTGTTAGGGTTAACAAGACTAACAGCTGCTAAGCCAAACACAAATCGGTTTAGTATAAAGCAAATGACATTCAATTTTAAAGACAAAATCAGCTTGACATCTTATAGTACAATGATGTTAATACCTGGCGCACCACAAGGCTGAAACCTAAAGCATGGGATGTAGGTAAAAAGGTACACAATTCAAGCAAACAACACGACGATTTGCCTTCCCTGTAGATGTGCAAACCTGATAGGAGAACCCAAGTGTTGTAGTGTATGTCCCGGGTACAGCATGATATAATAACAGACTTCTCATGGTTGGTTAACATTCAACACACAGGAAGAAGTAAGGCTGGTTTTCCTTACTGACACCCGTATAGACTTCCTATATAAGCTTTTTAAGAAAAAAATCTATCTGATGATGAATCATTATTGCGATTTGCTTTGGTAAAGTAATTTAGCTTTAATTATTTATTGTCGTCATGTACAGCTTAATGTAGAGCATTATTAACCAACACTAAAGAAAGTTTGTATCGAGTTATCGTGTTTTCCCGCAAGTCACAACATGGATGAGACGACATCGATATTGTCACAAAATTCAGCTTACTACGCCAATCAAAGTTCTACCGTGTCAGAGGAAGAAAAATGGCGGTACCTGACAGACCTGCAGTCCAGGTTTCACGTGTACAACATACCTGCCCTCACCCTGCTCGTCTTCTGCTCCGTGGCCGGGCTGTTGGGGAATTCCCTTATCCTGGTGGTGTACTCACGTAAGAGAAACAAAACGCCCACAGTGGTTCTCATTCTGTTTATCGCTGTCATCGATCTCATCAACAACGTCATCATCGATCCAGGTGAGCTGTAGTCTCTTCAGTAGTATTTTTAATAAGCCAGGTGTTAAAGTGTCCTCTGCTCACCAGGTGAGTTATATTATCTTCACATTTTCCAGTGTGTTTTAGTATTTTTTTAAAATTTAATCTTTTTTTTAAATTTAATTACCGTGGGTGGAAAAAGTAATACTAAACAAACATCTAGCGCCCCGTTCTTTTTGTTATAAGCAACTAGGCTGGGGTAAATATGTTGATTCAGAAGAGACGAATTAAATAAATAAACCCTGAGTGATCTCCCCTAAACTTTCTCGAATACTCTTATATAACACTTCGGGAGATGACACATCACGATATAGACATGATTTTTAATCAATTTTTAATTACTTAAATTTTTAAAAATAGAATAAATTGTCGTAGAAAAAAGAATTGAACACCAAGTGAACGCCAAACAAAATGTGTATAATAGTGCGGAATATTATTAGTACTTTATAAATTCATATGCGTCTTTTTGAGAAATCGGAAATAGCGTAAAATACTACTTCCGGTCAACGGAAAATACTCAAAATTTGATGGAAGGCAGAGAATTAGATATTTTTCTTATATGTGAAAATTCATTTATCTATCTGAAATAGTGCTAGGCTTTTGAAAAATTGAAAGTAGAATAAGTTCCACTTCCATTTATCGGAAATCGCTGAAAAGTTGATACTGATCTACAAAATTGATATCTCTACCCCACACTACTCGTCGTTACCATGTACATAATATTAAAATTTTGCTGTGAGATATTTTGTCTGAGATATTTTGTCTGAGATCAGTTGTCCATGGTATCATTTGTCCGGAGATGTTTTGTCCTGGTATCTTTTGTTCGTGAGATCATTTGTCCTTGAGATCATTAGTCCTGAGATCATTTGTCCGTGAGATATTTTGTCTGAGATGTTTTGTCTGAGATCATTTGTCCTGAGATAATTTGTCCTGTCACCATTATTTTTTGTCCACAGCCGTAATTTACGCCATGTTACACAGCCGAACATACACCAACGTGAGCTTGTGTAAAGCGTATTACTTAATCAACAGCTTTACAACATGGATGTCGGCCATGTTGTTGGTGGTCGTGGCTATCATCAGGTTGGTGCTACATTTAGTTCCAGGTGTCTGAGTTCCATAGATTAGTAGAAATATTTGGCATTGTTTTGTCATAAATTACCATGCAGGAAACCATAGCAATATTAGCGTTTACTGTTTATAAAACCTCAAGAACAAATCCAAAGAACAAATCACAAGAACAAATCACAAGAACAAATCTCCAGAACAAATCACTAACCAAAAAATAAAAAACAAACAGCGATGAAGTACATGTAATATCGAGAACTGATGTACCCTTTATTCTATAATCTCTCAGGTACAGAAAGATCTGCAGACCTTTTGGAAGACAGATGACCGTCACAGAGTCAAAAATTACCTGTGTATTAATTCTAGTCTTCTCTTTACTTTTGAGCATCCCATTTGCGGTTTTCTACGGTCAGATAACCGAATCCACGGAACGTCCAGAAATAACCGGCTACAATTGTGGAGTGGCGGATGAGTTTAAAAATGACTTCGGACAAAAGCTGACCCATGGGCTGTACATTCTGGTCATTCTAACGTGCTGTGCTACCCTGGCCACGTTGTACATTTTGATTGGTTTAGAGGCGAGGAAGAGAAGGGGTCCAGTGAGGGTTGCGTCTTTTAAGGCCAGTTCAAGCAGGAGTAAAATGGCAAGTGTGAGTTCTGTAGGGTCACATTCTAGCGGAGACACAGTTGCCACACACGTTGATATTGGTGGCAACAACCACACAAAAAACCACACGGATGCCCTCATGAATAAAAACACCACAGCCCAGACTAATACTGACACAAATGCCCACACAGATGCTCACACAATTACCCACACTGAACCAGCTATTTTATTTGAGAAAGATGTCGGGTCTAAAACAACTCATAAGTCTGGCTCCACATTTGGTCTGGCCAACTCCGAGGTTGTTCTAACGAACTCCCAGAGTATCCTAAAGAACAATGTCACCAGCAACACATCAACCATGACGGTGATCCCCACCCTAACCCCACCCACACACACCCCACCTACCGGCATCTCCAGTTGGCGCCGTTTGTCCCGCGCCAACAGGACCCCGCCCCTGAGCAAGACGACCCGGATGTTGCTAGCCACCAGCGTCATCTACATCGTGAGTTACATGACCACCTGCACCATCCTACTGATACGTTCCGTGTCGAGGGTTACTTATGACATGCCCATGTACGGCTACTCCGTCATGAATATGTTAATCGTCCTGTATCTCATCAACAGCGCGGCCAACCCGTTTATCTACAGCATATGTAACAAAGTCTTCAGGAGAGATTGTGTAGCCGTCCTCAAATGTCGATGTACACGTAAATAAAACAAAATGCACCAACGTAATTTGTTTTATATTGTACGAGTTGACCCGCGTAGCATACGCCGCAATTTAGTTGTTTTATTTTCTACTTTTCACTAATTCATAATTTGTGCATTCGACACTACCCTCCCTCTCCCCCACCCCAACCCCGTGAAAGCAGCCGTCCGTGACGAAAGTTTACAGATAACAATGAAAAGATCAAGCACATCTTATTACCCCCACTTAGTTTAAAATCGTTTAAAAAGTATTATCTGCCCCTAATAGCCTTCACTAGAGTGACTAGATCGACCGGCTCTACAATTGTCAACATTCGGCGTGAGCCACAGCTCACCAGGCTGGTGTAGGTGGGGGTGATAGCGATATGGTCTGTTGCGAATGCCTGAAGAGCGAGGGAGGGGGACGGGAGGAGGGTTAGATAGTCGGCTTGCGTCGTGGTGGTTTCCACGTAGAGAATTATATATAGATAGATATTGTATTTACTGTAAAAAAGAGGACACGGAAATCCCGAAAGTCACGAGTTTGGATCTCGGGTTCGTGTCATCAGAATGTCCCGAGTCCACCTAGTTCTAATTGGTACCTGACTCACGTTAGGGAAAGTAATGGCGGTTGGACATAACTCTGACCGCAAAATATCTACACAAGCCGAGAACACGGAAACAGTTGATCTCCATTCTTCTGACTGGTTCTATGTGAATCACGAATCAGATGTCAATCAATGTCATTTATTTTCCTTCTTAGGTTAGCAGGGGCTTATATATTTTAAAATTTAATGTATAAAATCAGTTTTTTCTTTTCTTAATCTTGTATACAATGACTTTATTCATTCAATATTATTGTTACACAATGTACATTTAAATAGGTTACATTTTTGTCTGGTAATTTGAAGAACCAACCTCATAAAGTGTAATTTTGTTGTTCAAGTGGGTGTAGCTGCTCTTGAAATTTCTCAAAAAACTATGTGTCTATTTCTTAAGAAAACTAAATCCTTCCTGTTTATCACAGTGTATTGGTTACATAATATTTAATTTGAACGGCGGACTAGATCACGTATAGAATTTTAGCTGTAACTTGTATTATAGAATCTAGAATTTTATAGTCTTAGTAGTCTTTGTATATAAGCTGCAACAAGGTTTTGTATGTTGAACAGATTTATTTACGCTGTATCACTCGCGCTATCTATTTTATCCATCTGTAATAAGTATACAATTAAAACTAAATAACCCGCTAATATATATTTGGATTTTAGTTTTTCTGTCAATGTTTGAATTCCAATAGAACTTTTCCCATCTCCATGACAAACAAGCTTCATAACACATATAACTGAGTGGGGGTAACACATGTCAAGTGCAGATTGGGGCAGGGGAGGGGCGTCACTCACCTGATAGTTCTCATCACACCAATACTTCTTTGAATGACTTAGCTGAAATATTACCCTACATTGGACAATTGCAGTTCGTTAAAACATCATCTAAATAAAAAAGAAACGTTTATGTTGTTGATCCATTTTTTTGGCTAATGACTTGTTTGGTAAAGTTTGTTTCGACACGAGTAAATAATTTAGTTTTTTTATTGTCCTTTTGAATTTAGAATAGGAATCGCAAAGGGAAGCAACATAAAAAATAACATCAACTTACTGTCCTTGAATAATTATACTTCCTCCTCCACAAACACTGTTTTTATGTGGAAAAAATAGTTTAATAAATAAAATACTGACCACTACAGCTGTTCCTACACTGCCCACTACAGCTGTTCCTACACTGACCACTACAGCTGTTCCTACACTGACCACTACAGCTGTTCCTCCACTGACCACTTCAGCTGTTCCTACACTGACCACTACAACCAACCAAGCCTTAAATATGAAAAACTGCAATGTACATCCAACAGAAAAAATACACCTGATGTACAACATGCTTAAATCTCCATCATTTTGCAACCTGTCATTTAGACCTGCTGGTCAGCGCGGAGTCGACATACCAACACGAGCACGAGAACTCAAGGCTAGTAGGTTAAGGATCGATTACATGTGTGGCGACCTCTTTAACAGCATCTCAAACACTAGAAATTTTTCCAATAAATCAATAAAAATATAATCTATACCAGTATCAATATGTGCATCAATTGATTGAACCAAAGAAAAATGTATATAAAAATCTTAGAATTAAATTAATTGCTTGTTTACTTTGTATGATCTATTGTTGTCATAAAAATAAATACCGATAGAAAGTTTGAAATGCTCATTTAATTTTTCTAAATGTTTATTCCATCCAATAAAAATAACAAAACCATTGTCTAAAAACATAAAAGTAAAAATAAATAATTAATTATTGACATCATTTAATTTCAAAATGCATTTTTACGGATCGAATTTCTAATGACAGTTACAGCATATATGTACATGTTGAACGAACATAATTGTATACAAAGAAAATAAGCGATAAAACACTTGGTTTTTTTTTTACTTTCTCGTATACAGAGTATAGACGAAGTATTGTAATCGTCCACTAAAATCACATGAAATTTTGACAATTTTCACCGTTTAAACCTCAGTACTTCATCATATAAGGAGTATAGGGGATATATTTTAATCGGGCAAAAATAATACATGCAGACTTATCAAAATTTCTGCGTTTTACGCGTAATCGAGTCGGAAAAACTGGACTTTGCAATTCTGTCCGTGTGTATATGTGTGTATGAGTGTCTGTGAACACGATAACTTGAGTACCGCTACAGTTAGGTAGATGAGATTTCATATATAAGTATTACATCAAATTTGTACGTCTGTTTCAACTTTTCAGCGATTTCCGATAACCGGAATGGGACTTATTCTACTTTTAGTTTTTTAAAAGCCTGTAAGTTAATTACTGTTTCAGATAGATAAACGAAATTTCCATATAAGTAAAAGATATACGTTCTGCATTCTGTCAAATTTTGAGTAATTTCCGTTGATCTGAAGTAGTTTTTTTACGCTATTTCAGATTTCTCAAAAAAAAAAAATGAAATGAATTTATAAAGTACTAATATTCTAATAATATCCCGCACTATTATACACATATTGTTTGCCATTCACTTGGTACGCAATCCTTTTTTTCTAAGAGATTCTATTATATTTAAACAAGTTAATAAAAAGTCTAGTGACGATTTAAGCGCAATTTCCTTATGTTATACATAACAATTTTAAATCGAGATAAATCATATATTCAGCAAATAAATAGTATGCAACACAAGTAGTTTTAATAATTCAAAACAAAATAGAAAAAATATTTATTAACGAGATTTAAAAAAATTTGGGGACGTGTAGGGGGTATTTAGTTGTCGCGCTCTCTATATTTCTATATAGTACTGTAGTGTATTATGTAGAATGTAATTTTAATTTTTTTTTTGTGACCGAACGAAAGGATATTTTTGAAAACTTTCTTAGGCAATATTGTTCTAAATTATGGTAGGAATCGATTGGTAAATGTTTCAAGTCGCTAAGTGGTTTGGTTGCCGAGAAAAAACTGCCAAAAACTGCATTTTTTCGAGTTTTTTTGGCTTTTCCGGGAAATCCAGGAAGGAATTCCGGAAATTTTTTTGGTCCACAATCATCATCGGGAATTGCTTAACATATTTGCTATTGGAACTAGTCCTCGATATTGCTTCGTTGAGGAGGAGATACGACTTAAAGCTGCGGTAAAGCTGCGGACACACATCCAGAAATGACGAATTAATAATCGCAATTCCAGTATGGAAATTGCGCTAAAAAGGTTTAAGTAAGTAAAAATAGATTAAAAATCATGCCTATGTTCCGAGTAGCCATTCCCCGTAGCGTTATTTAAGAATTTTCGAGAAAGTTTAGGGGAGATCACTCCCGATTTATTTATTTTCTTGCCCGTCGACATCTAAGGACTTCGCCACAGTCTCTCCTGAAGACTTTGTTACAGATGCTGTAGATAAACGGGTTGGCCGCGCTGTTGATAAGGTACAGGACGAAGAACACGTTCATGGCAGAGTAGCCGTACATGGGCATGTCGTACAGCACCCTCGACACGGAACGTACCAGTAGGATGGTGATGGTCGTCAGGTAACTCACGATGTAGATGACGCTGGTGGCTAGCAACATCCGGGTCGTCTTGCTCAGGGGCGGGGTCCTGTTGGTGTGGGACGAACGGCGCCGTGTGGAGATGCCGGTAGGAGGGGTGTGTGTTGGTGGGGTGTGGGTGGGGATCACCGTCATAGTTGATGTGTTGCTGGTGGGATTGTTCGTTAGGATAACCTCGGTGTTGGCCAGACCAAATGTAAAGCCTGACGTAGGAGCTGTTGTAGGCCCGACATCTTTTTTCTCAGATACGTTGGCTTGGTCTGTGTGGACATTTGTGTTGGCGCCTGTGTTATTATCTGTGTGGGGACCTGTGTGGTTATTTGTGTGGGCATGTGTGTGATTATTTGTGTGGCCACCCACATCAACGTGTGTGGCGACTGTGTCTCCGCTAGAATGTGACCCTACAGAACTCACACTGTCTCGCTGGAGTTCACCCACCACATGCCGTCTGCCAGAACTAGCATTAAAAGACACAACCCTCACTGGACCCCTTCTCTTCCTCGCCTCTAAACCAATCAGAATGTACAACGTGGCCAGAGTTGCACAGCACGTTAGAATGACCAGAATGTACAGCCCATGGGTCAGCTTTTGGCCGAAGTCATTTTTAAACTCGTCCGCCACTCCACAATTGTAGCCGGTTATTTCTGGACGTTCCGTGGATTCGGTTATCTGACCGTAGAAAACCGCAAATGGGATGCTCAAAAGTAAAGAGAAGACTAGAATTAATACACAGGTAATTTTGGACTCTCTGACGTTCATCTGTCTGCCGAAAGGTCTGCAGATCTTTCTGTACCTGTCATATGAAAAAACAATGTTTATGATGTTATTTTTGCTTTATAAAGAATTTAAAAGTGTCAGCTCTAAGTATAGTTAAATATAATCATGTCAGCTAACTACATGGACAGTCTAATGTACTGACAGACTGACAGCCTAATGTACTGACAGCTGACTGTATTGACAGCCAACTGTACTGACAGCCGACCGTACTAGAACTAAATATAGCACCAACCGAATGATAGCCACAACGACCAACAAAATGGCCGACGTCCATGTTGTAAAGCTGTTGAAAAAGTAATACGCTTTACACAATTTCATGTTGGTGTATGTCCTGTTGTGTAAAATTGCGTATGTTGTGGCTGTGGACAATAAATTAATAATGTTAGTTAATTAATGTGATACTATTGTCTAAATAGAATGGCAACTTTTCTTTTTCCTCTTAATTAAAATAACCAAGCTTATACTGGTTAATTGAATTAATATAAGTAATACTAATACTTCTTACATGAATTATTAAAGTAATATATGTCATCCGATGATTATTGAAGTTATTACAATTCACCTGGTTTAATGAATATACTACTACTTACAAGGTTTACTAAAGATACTACAACTTACAAGTTTTACTAAAGATACTACAACTGACACGTTAAAAAAAGCTATTAAACCTTGTTACTAAATAAACTACATACACCTCACCTGGATCGATGATGACGTTGTTGATGAGATCGATGACTGCGATAAACAGAATGAGAACCACTGTGGGCGTTTTGTTTCTCTTACGTGAGTACACCACCAGGATGAGGGAATTCCCCAACAGCCCGGCTACGGAGCAGAAGACGAGCAGGGTGAGGGCAGGTATGTTGTACACGTGAAACCTGGACTGTAGGTCTGTCAGGTACCGCCATTTTTCCTCCTCTGACACGGTAGAAGTTTGATTGACGTAGTGAGCTGAACTTTGTGACAATATCGATGTCGTCTCATCCATGATTTGACATGTATGAACACACGACAACTCAACACAAAACGTTTTAAAAAGTTGGTGAATACCGTTTTACTACTAGCTGTACCTGTTGAAAAAGAATAACTAAAGCTAAAATGTTGCATACCACATGATACATATAGTTAAATCACTGAATTAGATCCCATTCATGTTTTACTTATAAAACGCAAGGAAGAAATAACCGACCAAAATCCACCTTCCTATTTATTTAGTATATAAAACAAACGGTGACACGGCAGTCATCGTAGCCTGGGCTAGCCGGGTCATGCATGACAGTAGTATATTAGGTCCCTTTTGGAGCGAATTCTTGGCGGAGGAGCTGGTGGGGATGCGCAAAGACATATAGTAAAATACTCGGGAGCAGGATGCGCAGGCGGGACAATGACATATAGCAAAATACTCCACCAGCTGCCGCAGGGTGGTGGAGCAGGATGCGCAGGCGGGACAACGAGATATAGTAAAATACTACGCCAACTGGGGTTGGCGGAGGTGGAGGTGTGACGTAATCTCCGTTGACATTGTGACGTAATCAGCGATATTATGACGTAATTATTGACCTTGTGACGTAATCATTGACCTAGTTACGTAATTTTAATGCATTTTTTAATGAGTTTTAATGAGTTTTTAAAATTTTTAATTAATTTTTTATTCAAGAGTTACGTAATTTGATTATTTGTTTACTTTTTAATTAATTTTTATTGACTAGTTACGTAATGTGATTTTAATTACTTTGTTTATATTGTGTAATTTTTTATTGACCTAGTTACGTAATTGGATTTTAATGAGTTTGAATTTAATGTTGTAATTTTAATTAATTTTTATTAACGAGTTACGTAATTTGATTATTTGTTTGATTTTAAATTGTTTACTTTGTTTGTTTACTTGTTGTTTAATTTGTTGGTTTGTTTGAACGTATGTATGTTTTAAATAAAAGACTAACACTATCATGTACTAGAACAGTCTTTGTATACCAGCCTTTAACCAGACATGTAACATCTGTTACGTATCGAGCCGCCCGTGAACTTTCCAGGCGCTGGGCGGTTTTTAATGGGTATTATATCGATCGCAGCCGCTGGCCCAGATGATTAATGGCTTTTTTCCCCGCTCGGTTGACGGGTTATGGTAATTAACGACGTACATTAAGTGTCTCTCCGCGAAGCCCGCGTTAAGTGTGGGAACACCTGTTACCACGTTAATCGATTTTACCGAACGCTTTGTTAGCTCCGCGAAGTACTTAGGTCATTATGCAACAGCTGCTGTGCAACAGCTGGGGGTGTAATTAGGTCGATCAACCGGACATTACCTTGTTGGTTTTCTAGTACGCTATACACATTCACACACACACACACTAAAATTAGAACAAAAGTCTTCTTATATTTTATTTGTTTATTAACGTTTTTTCCAATTCATCAAAGGCTTTTAAAATTTCATCCTGTAAACTTAATAGGCGCTCAAAGCAGACGCGACTCATACTAACACCAGAATTTGTAGGAAAATTAAGATCTGTCCCATCTATAAGCTCTCTAAAGTCCCTCTCCGCGTTAAGTGTGGCGACAGCTGGTGCTGTAATTAGTCACGGCTCTCGGCTTTTTTCATTAGACTACAGCTGTACATGAACTATGTTCACATATCGTACACCCGGTCATTCTTTGATCAAATTAAAAAATTTTTGTTTCCACATGTCCTGCGAACCGTCCCTTGCTATGTATGAAAGATTAATGGGTGTAACTATTCGCTTATAGCGAGGGTCAGCAAAAATCAAAATATATTTAAGGGTCGGAATTTTCTTTCAACCACCGTTAAGTCAGGTTTGAGACGAAACGAAGTCTCGGTAGGTTCGTGGTTTTTAATGGGCGACAGGGCGACTTGGTGCATTGGTACGTAGGTATGCGGGGTAGACATATTTTTTACAAGTCTGGAAAAGTAATTACGTTTTTTTTTTTTTTTTTTTTTTTTTTTTTTATGACCGTTCCGTTTTTCTTTTGATCTGACCACCATTTGACCACCCTGCACTGGTGACCTTGTGACGTAATCACCGCAGGTGACCTAGTTACGTAATTTTAATAAGTTTTTAATTAGTTTTAATGACTTTTTAAAATTTTAATTAATTTTTCATTAACGAGTTACGTAATTTGAATGTGTTTTTAATTAGTTTTAATGAGTTTTTAAAATTAATGGATTTTAATTTTAATTTTTTTATTTTATTTTTTTCATTATCTGTTATGTTAACTTTAAGGTTCTATAACTCTATATATTTAAATACATTTTTGATTCAACCGAGTCTACTTTTCCTAACATAAGTACATGTAAAGAGGGGTTTCCAATAGGTCTGTAATGAATTAGGCCTTTTTGACTATGACTTGTTGCCCAGGTGTTGACATGATACGCTTTTTTGAGATACACGTACACACACACACACACACAACCACACACACACACACACACATACACGCGCGCGCGCGAAATTCATACTAGGTCGATAAAGGCGGAGAGAACTTATAGGTATACATTATCATGGTGACAACAAAAGCGATCCTTATTTTATTTACATGAAAGCGTGTTTTCCAAAAAGTGTCACCATGCCGTTGTCATTTTAGCAGCGGGTATTAGTTTAAGTGTACCTCGTGCACGCTTGTTTACATTTTAAAAGACGTGTCGCGTGTCTTCCCCTTACGACTTCCCTAATAGAGAAACGAGAGGAAAGACAACTGTTCTAAAATTAGAACAGCCTTGTCTACAGCCACGAGTATCGTCCCTTGTGAAAAAATTCGCGTCAGAATCCTTAACTAAACATTCAATTTCTTTAACAAGTTAAAAAAATAATTTAGGAAGACAAGGGTTAACGAAATATATATCTTAGTCTTGCAGCAGATTACCTTCCCATGTTCGCTTTAGTATTACAGTTTTCATCTAACTTCTTTTTGACTTGAACTTCTTTAATTTTTAAGAAAGTTTACTTATACATAATACATTACGTCTAATGACAATTTTTTTTTTTTTTTTTTTTTTTTTTTTTTTTTTTTTTTTTTTTTTTTTTTTTTTTTTTTTTTACCACTCAATGTATTTTCTTTTTCTATATCTTACATTGTCATCTTAATTTTTGATCACCTTAGGTGGTGGTAAGGTGGTGGTAAGGTGGTGGTAAGGTGGTAAGGTGGTGGTAAGGTGGTGGTAAGGTGGTGGTAAGGTGGTGGTAAATTTGCTTAAGATTATAAAATTCAAGTTTTAAAAAAACAACAACGTTATAGTACGGCGTGTCAAATGACACGCCGTTTAAAATGTCTACATTTAAAGTTCACCAAAATAATGACTTAAAAACTAAATATGATATGACGTTAGCATACATATCATTCAATCTAATCATTCTAAAGTACAAATCAATAATTTTTATTGATTAAGGGGCTGGGTGAGTTATTTTTATCACTATTCGCCCTTCCCCTTCCCTTTGTCCGCAACCCCTTTCCCCTTCTCCCATCCAACCTTGCGTCATCACACTAACCTCAATACCAACCGCTAGATAAACAGACCGTACTACTACCCACACTATACCTATTCCATTTAAGAGACAAAGGCTGTATGACAATCCTACAGACAAATATTTATTCAACTAATATCACAACCCCCTAGAAACCACTCCAACAGACTGGGATACATAACTTGTAGACACTACTCCTCGTTGAATATCTCTTGCACCCTACCTACATCGACAACTTTGTCCGCCGCACTCGCCCCCGTCCCTAGTATGAACTCGGTTACCAACAATTTCAAAACATGCATGTTCCGAGTTCAAAACCAACCTTCACCGACACTAGTATGAACTCGGCCCCTAACACTTCCAAAACATGTCTGTACTAACTTTGAAACCACCCTCGGTGAAAACTTCACCGACCCTAGTATGGACTCTACACCGACCGATTCCAAAACATGCATGTTACGAGTTCAAAACCAACCTTCACTGACACTAGTATGAACTCGGCTACCAACAATTCCAAAACATACATGTTCCGAGTTCAAAACCAACCTTCACCGACACTAGTATGAACTCGGCTACCAACAATTCCCAAACATGCATGTACCAACTTTCCAACCTGCCTCAGTGCTAACAAAATTCCCCGACCCTAGTATGAACTCGACTGCCATCAATTCCTAAACATCCATGTACCAACTTTGTAACCTGCCTCGGTGAAAACTTCACCGACCTTAGTTTAACTCTCCCTAACAATTCCAATGATGCATGTACGAACTTTGTAACCTGCCTCGGTGAAAACACCCCCGTCCCTAGTATGAACTCGGTTACCAACAATTTCAAAACATGCATGTTCCGAGTTCAAAACCAATCTTCACCGACACTAGTATGAACTCGGCCCCTAACACTTCCAAAACATGCCTGTACTAACTTTGAAACCACCCTCGGTGAAAACTTCACCGACCCTAGTATGGACTCTACACCTACCGATTCCAAAACATGCATGTTCCGAGTTCAAAACCAACCTTCACCGACACTAGTATGAACTCGGCTACCAACAATTCCCAAACATGCATGTACCAACTTTCCAACCTGTCTCAGTGCTAACAAAATTCCCCGACCCTAGTATGAACTCGACTGCCATCAATTCCTAAACATCCATGTACCAACTTTGTAACCTGCCTCGGTGAAAACTTCACCGACCTTAGTTTAACTCTCCCTAACAATGCCAATGATGCATGTACGAACTTTGTAACCTGCCTCGGTGAAAACACCCCCGTCCTTAGTATGAACTCGGTTACCAACAATTTCAAAACATGTATGTTCCGAGTTCAAAACCATCCTTCACCGACACTAGTATGAACTCTAGACCTACCGATTCCACAACATACATGTTCCGAGTTCAAAACCAACCTTCGCCGACACTAGTATGAACACGGCCCCTAACAATTCCAAGGATGCATGTACCAACTTTACAACCTGCCTCAGTGTTAGCAAAACTCCCCGACCCTAGTATGAACTCGACTACCAACAATTCCTAAACATGCATGTCCCAACTTTTGTAACCTGACTCGGTGAAAACTTCACCGACCCTAGTATCGACTCTCTACCTATCAATTCTAAAACATGGATGTACCAACTTCGAAACATCCCTCTGTGTTAACAAAACTCCCCGACCCTACTATAGACTCGACCCCTAACAATTCCAAAACAGGCATGGTCTA